GTTCTGGCCCGAGCTGAACAGCCACTGAGCTGCCAACAGGTGGCAGGATGGTTCAGCTAAAAACAAACCAAAAAAAAAAAAAAAAGATGCCACCTGGACATTTTAGTCAGTGCCTCTGCTCCCATCTCATTGGCTAGAGCTTATCACATGGTCACACTTAGCTGGCAGGGAGGCTGGGAAATGTAGTTGCTGGCTGGAAACTATGTGTCCAGCTAAAACTCGGGAGCTTCTATTACTAGAAGAAAGATAGGGACAATGGCTGATAATTAACATTCTATCCGTACAGGAATATTGACTTGAACATTAGAGGATGCTGTTTAAAGAATGGTATCAGACCCGAGGAAAATGTTTGAATAGAGAAGTTAGCCTCCCACTGATAGGAACAGAAACATAATGGAAGACCCAAGAGGGGTCAGTGGAAGGGATGGAGAAAAGATAAGTAAGGTTGAAATCCAGATGAGCTTTTATATATGACAAGGTAGCGATTAGGGACCTCTGGAGGGTTAAACACTTTTCAACTCTAAGCTCAGTATATTTCCCTGAGGAATTAAAAATCTTATGACACGAGGGGTAATTTGGGGCTGATCGCTGACCTCAAGGGAGATATAAATGCAGGGCACTCCAGACACATTCGTTCAGGGAGGGGGAGGAGGGGAAGAAAATACATCTCATTTCCTTCCCCACCCCATGTATTTTCTCATCTAGGTACTTGGAATTTGTCTCTTTCTGTTTCCAGGAGCCCAAGGTTTAGAGATCTTGACTTGGGATATCTATGGCCCTTGGCCTATGTGCCAGCCCAGTCCCCCATGGTTTCCAGTCTGGGGAAAATGCCTTACACACCAACCTTGAAAAAGGTCCTGTTGACAAACAGAGACATCTCTCCTTTCCCTTTTATGTGAAGGAATGACGGTATGAAGATTTATGATACTTGAGACGAGTGTTGACCCGTAGCCCACCTTTAATCTAGTTTTAAACTTGGAGGCTTAGAAAGGTCACTCATCAGGTCTGATCTCGGCTTCAGTTCTCTAAAATCACCAAGGACTTTTTATATCAAGTCCCTGGAGAATAAAAGGAGTGGCCACTCTTCCTTTTAGAAGCTGTTGAGGTGGCTAAAATCGTTGTGGCTAGTGTCTGAATCCGTGCTCTTGCCATCTAGATAAATCCCAGTGAGCCATGTTGAGTGGGTTTGCTCAGCTTACTGAAACAACTTACACATGTTTTGATCTTTAAGTTTCTTCAGGTAATGCTTCAGGCATTTGTATCACATTTTAGATTTTATACAACACACTGACATGTTTTATTATTTAACCTGCTCAGCAGTGTGGCTTAGGTAGGCAGAGCAAATATTTCCTTCCTTGACAGCACAGGAAACAGAGGCTGGGAGTAAGTCAGTAGTTCAGGTGAGGTGGTTGTAGGGGTGTAGACTTAAATTAGCATCTTCCAGCCTTGAATCATGTGGTCCGGCCTCAGGGATACTATTTCTTCTGCCCTCCTTCCAGTAAGAACTACGTCTCTGTAGAGCTAGATAGGTAGATATATATATTTACATACACATAAAAAAGTTATCTTCTTTGGTTGGTCTTTTGAGAAACTTGACCATGTTCTGCCTTGCATAGACTACATTCTAGATTTTCAACCGTTGCTCATAAGATCCTGTCCTTCTAATAGCAGACTGAGTTGATGTCCAAAAGTAGGCCTTCCTCTTTGCGGTGCCATTATAATGTAGGGCTCACTTTGGGTCCTGTTTGGGCCTATCTGTAGCTGGCCATCTTATTTTGATTTTTCCAAAGAGTTATCAAATTTATGTTTCTTTTAGTCCACAGGCATCTTTTGCCCCGAACACACAATCGATTGAATACAATTCATCAAAGCCTGTGGCATACACATGGCATTGTTTTTCTTTGGTGTATCTGTGCTTGCTCCTGAAATTTTGGGAACCTGAAACATTCCTTAATGAATGTGTGGCAGATACCCAGGGGTATTTTGTCCCTAGCTATTGTTTCCCTCTTCTGTAGATCTGCAAAAGTTACAAGGGGGAAGGTCGAAGACAGATCTGCAGCCAGCAGCCTCCATGTGAAAGGCTCCACATATGTGAACACTTCACCCGAGGGAACTGTGGTTACGCCAACTGCCTCAGGTCTCATAATCTGATGGACAGGAAGGTGCTGGCGATCATGCGGGAGCATGGGCTAAGCCCAGAAGTGGTCCAAAACATCCAGGACATCTGCAACAGCAAGCACAACCGAAAGAAACCCTCTGCATTCCGAGGTAAATGCATTCCTTTTTTTTTTTTAATTGGGGAACAGTGTGTTTTTCCAGGACCCATCAGTTGTTTCAATCTTTTGGGTTGTTGGAAAAGTCATGATGCATTTTTGCAACGAAAAACAGAAAAAATACATCATGACTTTTCCGACAACCCAATAGTTGTGGAGGGTGCAGCTCAGTGGGCCCATGCCAGGATCGAACCGGCAACCTTGGTGTTATGAGCACTACATTCTAACCAACTGAGCTAACTGGCCATCCCCTCTCCTTTTTAATTGTAACAGAAATCACAAGAAAAGAAAAATGTGACCAAGAATCACTCTCCCCCCCACCACATAAAACTTCATTTTCTTTCTCAGACCTTGTCCACATTCATACATACATTTTATGTAATTATAATCACAGTATATGTGTGATTATGCAATTTGATTTTCATGCTAAGCCCTATTCCCCCCAACCCACCACCAGGTTTTTAAAATGTTTATCATTTCTCTAAAAGCTAGTAGATAGAGCTTTTTTTTTTAATGGAAAAAAACCCCCAGAACACCTATAAAATGTTTTTAGATTCACCAGTTGTTAACATTTTGTCACAATTATTTTATCGCTTTTTCTGTGTGTCCATGTAGATACTCACACACACATTTAACATTTTAATGGTTAAAGCATTTGACGTATGCAGTCATCAGGACACTCCACGCCTAAATAAATCAGCATGTACTCCCTCAAAACAAGGCCATTCTCCTACATAACCACAATGCAATTAATACAGGAAATCTAGCTTTTATATAAAACTATATACAATTTAATGTATTGTCCTCAGTATTGCTTTTTTAAAAATTTGTATACTTTGACTGTTTAAACTGTGGTGACATATTACATAAAATTAACTACTTTAACTATTTTTAAGACAGGTCAGTGGCATTAAGTACATTTCATGTACCCATCACCACCATCCATCTCAAGAACTTTTTAGTCTACCCAAAATGAAATTCTGTCCCCATTAAACAATAACCCACTCCCTCGTCCCCCCGCCCCTGGCAACCACCACTTCACTTTCTGTCTCTATGAATTTGACAGTTTTAGGAACTTCATAGAAGTGGAATTCTACAGAATTTGTCTTTGTTTGACTGGCTTTTCCCACTTAACATACTGTCTTCAAGGTTCATATAATCCATGTTATAGCATGTCAGAATTTCCTTTCTTAAATAAAAAAAATATATGGAATTTACAAAAAATTGTAAAAATACACAACATCAAATTTACCATCTTAACAATTTTTAAGTGTTCAGTGGCATTAAGTACATTCACACCATTGTGCACCGTCTCCAGGACTCTCTTCATTTTGCAAAACTGAAACTCTACCTATGAAGCAATACTTCCCCATTTTCTCCTCCTGCTAGCTCCGGTTAACCACCATTTTAGTTTCTGTTTCTTTGAATTTGGCTGCCCTTGGTAACTCATCTAAGTGGAATGAATCATACAGTATTTGTCTTTTTGTGACTGGCTCATTTCACTTTGTATAATGTCCCCAGAGATCATTTATGTTGTAGCCTATGTGAGAATTTCCTTCCTTCTGAAGGCTGAATAATATTCACGTTTTGTTTGTCCATTGATCTGTCTGCGGGCACTGGATTGCTCCCACCTTTTGACTATTGTGATTAATGCTGTTAGGAACTATGGGTGTACAAATATCTCGGAGTCCTCACTTTCAATTCTTTTGTGTATACACCCAGAATAGTGAAATTGCTGGATCACGTGGTAATTGTATGTTTAATTTTTTTAGGAACTTTTGTACCATTTTCCGCAGTGGCTGCACCATTTTACGTTCCCACCATTCTAATATCTCCACCTCCTTGCCACCACTTGTAATTTTCTGCTTTTTGGGGTACCAGCCATCCTAATGGGTGTGAAATGCACAGTATTGTTTCTTAAGCATTTTTATATTGTTTAATAGTATGAACACCTACAATTTTTAATGTTTTTATGAGGTCAGTATAGAAGAGATGCATTTTAGGAAGTAAATAGAATACATAATTCTGAGATTCTATAAGAGGTAATAAACACGCACACCTCCTTATATTTGAGAAATGCTTTATAGTTTACAAGGGACTTTCGCCTGAAATATCTCATTGTTGTTCCTTGCATCAAAACCATAAAGAAAGAAAGGCAGGTGTATTATCAGCCTCATTTAATGGATGAGGAAAACCAGTCTTGGAAATTTTAGGTGACTTTTATTGCAAGCAGCCTTGAATCTTTTGAGAAGAAGGGTAGTACTATGAATAAATAAGGCCGGCCGAGTGGCTCAGTTGGTTAAGAGCTTGCTCAAGAGTGCGAGCTCTGAGAATAGGGTCGCTGGTTCAATTCCAACATGGGCCTGAGCTGAGCTGCCGCTGAGCTGCCAACAGGTGGCAGGATGGCTCAGCTGAAAAGAAAAATCTGCAATATGAATAAATAAAAGTCATGTTTCCAGGCCTCTCATCACTAGACAATGGCAGAACTCCTGGGTTCTGATTCCACATCTAATGTTTTCTTTCCCACACCACAGTGCTCTCAACAGGGGGACATCTGGAGGCATGGTTTTTGGTGTCGTTTCTTAATATGAATTTATTCTATGTGAGAGAGATCTTTATTTATTATCACTTCTAGTTAATCTACTTAATAAGTATTTTGCTGACAGGAGGGGGATGTCTGCTTTTATTATCTTCTTGCCATCCCCTGGATTTGGAAGAAAAAAGACCCCTCTTCCTCCCTTTCCCCACACACGATAGCACGTCTCACACATGCACACTCACGCACACTGTATACACCACACATGCACATCTTACCTATGGACATGTCTCATACCAACTGTATGTCACACATGCATGCACCCCTCACCCATGAACTGTACACATGTACACCTTACCCACCCATGCACCCCTCATGCACACGCACACACCACACACAAACATCACACACATGCATGCCACATACGCACACTTCACACACATGCTCACTCACTGCTCCCTGGGCAGTGGGGTACATCAAGCTTCTAAAGAGAGGCCACGTCTTTTTGACATTACTCACTTAAGTGTGGGCATTTGGAGGGGCCAGAAGAACTTTAGAAAACTTTCGAGTTAAAGTGAAATTAGCCCTTTAGACTGTAGTTTCATCGGTTTGTGTTTTTGTGTGAATCCTTCACTTGTTAGGGTTGACACCTACATCGCAGTACGGGCAAAATCGCAATGATTTTTGGAAAATTCTCCCTGATTTACCCTAGTCTGTCTCTCCATTCACCATGGCAGTGAATGTGGACTTGAACTAGGGAGTAATGGACAGCCCCCCTTAAGAGTCTGAAGGCCTTGGGGCTACAGCTGAGGCCCAGGAGAGAAGCTGAGAAGAGCCAAGGTCAGTCCAGCTCTTCTCCTAGTTGTTGGGGTGGTGTTTTCTGCTGTGCTAGCAGAATGGCAGGATCTCTTCATTACCCTGACCGCCCTTCTCAGGATGTTTGCACACCATATTCGGACAAGTAATTTAATAGAACATGGACAGCAAACCTGGAAAAGCTGTGGTAAGAACGCGATCACGTTAACTCTAATTTTCATTGTTTTTTATATTTTCTTCTTCTAGCTCCCCCACACCAAAGAGACACGGGGTACAGAGGTAGAAGCAGGAGTAGAGATCGATTCTTCCAGGACGGTCTCGAATTTCTCTCATCTGCTCCCGTGTCTACTGCGAGGTCTGGCACGTCCAGTCCAGATCACATCGGCCGTAGGTCTCCTCTGGACGATGCGCTTCTAGAGGGTCTCGCCCACAAGTTCATGCATTTGGGAAGTCGGGATGGCTCTCCGCCTTCCTCAGTCTCATCTAAGGCTGTCAATCTTGGAGGAACAAATCAAGTGGGAGGAAGCCAGCAGTTTTCAGAGAATGGCAGCTCAGAGGGCTTCCTTTATGGGAATCAAGGCAGCACTCCCCTCATTTCTGATTTAACATCGGCTTCCAACTGGAAGGGCCCCATACCCTGGCCGATTGACCAAGGCGCCAGTAGAGAGAATTTGTATTCTTCGAGTCAAGCTGCCTCATACTCTCCTCATGGTTCTCCACAAAAGCCTGAAACTGGAACCACCGGAAAGAGAGCAGGTCCGCTCTCCTCGGCCTACACGACTGTCGAGGGCAACAGTGGAACTCAAGATGGCCAGCATTTCCCGTTTTTTAATAATCATTTTGACGGACTGGCCACAGATACAACTTCCACGAGACCTTTAAATTACCAAATCGCAACCAGTCGACAGAGGGAAAAATCGTTATCGAGGAATCCGGAAACTGGAACTACTCACGCTACTCTTCAGACCATCAGCAAAATGACAGATGATGCTGAACCAGGAGTGGCCTACGTTAACATTAAAGACAGAGAGAAGATATGGATTAGTACACCGGTCCACAGCACATCAAATAGCTCTAGTAAAGTTACGTACGCAACTACCGATGTAGACGACATTGGCTTACCATCAGCAAGTCAGAGTGTGAGAACCCAGGTCCTGCCCACGCCTGGGGAGACCACTGCCCCCAAACAAGTCACCGCTCTGCCCAAGGCACCACTTTCTACACCTTCCTCAAGCAGTAGAGCTACAGCCTGTAATGCCCGAGGTCAGAACTCTGCTCAAATCTCTGCAAGTGAGATTACAAGAAGGACCCTAGGCTGTGCTCTGAGTAAGTCACTCAAGGACAAAAGGGGGCCCCATGTCTTGTGTTTGCAGCAGAGTAGTTATGGCTGGTGGTTTCTCTTTAGATGTTCCCCAGCAGTGATTAAAGGGCATAGAGTTAGAGGGTTTTCGTTAAGGGGTGGTACTGGTGAGGGGACTGACATAGAAGATGGAAGGACCAGCCAGTAGAACAATATGGATTAAACGGCTACATTTATTAAGAACAGGAAGAGTTTGAACATAGTTTAAGAAATAAACATAACTCGCACATGACCTTAATGTTCACATTTGCTTTAATGGAGGGCTGTCTACGTTCCCATAAGCAACACATGAATCATAGGAATTTTCTTGAACACGGCCTCAGTTTCAGATATTCTTTCCCATTGTGAGACCAGGTATCTTGATTTTTGCTTTAACAATTAAGATTGGCATACATGCATCTTCTTTGGTTTATTTATAGATTCCATATTTGATGCGAGTACCACATCTTCCGGGACAGGTGATCATGAATCACAGGAAATTTGTCTTAACCATCTGATGCATAAGGATTGTCAACTGAGTGAGTAACTTAAGGTCTTTCTAGAAGTAGAAACTTTATTAATAGTAATATGGCTAACATTTACTGAGACTTTGCTAGATGTCGGGCATAGTGCTAAGAACCTTACATGCGTCTTCTTTAAACTTCACATCAACAACCGTAGAAGTAGGTTCTGCCCTTAACCTGTTTTACAGAAACTGGAGGAATAGAGATGTTAAGACCTCATGTGCGGGCCGGCTGAGTGGCTCAGTTGGTTAAGAGCTCGCTCAAGAGTTTGAGCTCTGAGCAACAGCGGTTCGAGTCAGCCCGAGCTGAGCAGCCGTGAGCTGCCAACAGGTGGCCGGATGGCTCAGCTAAAAAAAAAAAAAAAAAAAAGACTGAGATGCATTTATCAAGGTGTGATTCAACAGGAACTATTAAAAAAAAAAAAGACATCATGTGCACAAGCAGCCAAGTTGGCTTTTGACCCTACACTGCCCAGCCCACCTATCTCTGTCACCATTGCCTGATATTATACTTTCTCTTTTCGCAATTCAGTTTTAGGTGAAATATGATACTTACTCAGGGACCCATCTCTTCAAACACTAAAGGCAAGCAAACGAACAACAAATCCAAAACACAAAGGTATCCTAGCAGACACATTTTCAAAGTTCATTTCCTATCATTTAGGCATTGTCTCTGTTCTGGGCCATGGGCTCTTTATAGTCGTTCCTCACGTGTGTACTGAAGATGACCAATGATCTATGTGTCATTCTAGTCAAGGAGTCATACCTGGTCACTGTCCCCTTCCACCAGGCTTCCTATAGAAATGATTCCCAGACTGTCCCTGGGACAAATTGCCATCCTCTCACTCTTCTCCCACTTTCTCAGCTTTCTGCCTCTGTCCTGGGCCTGGGCATCGTGTCTGATTTCATTGATCACTTAGTGGCCTTAGACTCATTTGCTTTGTGTCTGAAAAGGAGGATTATGCCCTATGTTCTATAAATCACAAGCCTTGAACCTAAAATTTTGTTTCCCTTTTTAATTGTGGTAAAAGACCTATAACATAGATTCCCCCCCCCCCGCATCTTAATAATGTTAAATGTACAGTGCAGTAGTCTTAATTACATTCCTATCCATCTCCAGAACTCTTTACATCTTGCAAAACTGAAACAACAGCTCCTCATGCCCCCATTTCCAGCCCCTGGCAGCCATCATTCTAGCTTCTATTTCTATGCATATGACTATTCTAAGTCCCTCATATGAGTGGAATCACACAGTACTTGTCTTTTTGTGACACTGGCTTATTTCACTTAGTGTCATGTCCTCAAAGTTCATCCACGTTGTAGCATGTGTCAAAATTTCTTTCCTTTTTAAGCTGAATAATATTTTATTATATGTATATACCACATTTTATTTATCCATCCATTGATGGGTACTTGGGGTATTTCTACCTTTTAGCTATTGTGAATAACCCTGCAATGAACATTGGTGTATAAATATCTGCTTGAGACCTTGCTTTCAGTTCTTTTGGGTAGATACCCAGAAGTAGAATTGCTGGATTATATGGTAATTTTATATTTAATTTTTTTCTGAGGAACTGCTACACCATTTTTCACAGCAGCTGTACCATGTTACATTTTCACCAGCAATACACAAGTGTTCCAATTTCTCCACATCCTCAGCAACACTTTAAAAAAAAAATAGCAGTCATTCTAATGGGTATGAGGTATGGATTGTAACGAATGGGTATATACTTTTGAATCAGCCAAGTCTCAGGCAGTGCCACTCTGTGGGTTTTTCTGTGATGCCTGAACCTGCCTCTTTTTGTTTTCTAACAGCCTCCTACCTTTTGGACATTCCAAAATGATTTAAACATAACATAATAAAAATTGTAAAAAAACAGCTATGTTCTGTATTCCTGCATTATGGGCTTGTAACATTAATTCATTATTCAAGAAGCATTGAGTTAATGCCCATCTTTTGCGTGCCCAGCCCTATGCCAGTCATGCGAGGGAGACAGAAGCTAAACAATGATGTAAGCCATGCTTCAATGAGTTTGTGATTCTAGAAGGCGTCACAACATCCACAAGATGTTCTACCAGATGAGAAAAGCTGCATAAAATAAGTAAACACATAAATAAAAAAGCACAGACTGGGTTCTGAGTGCTGGCTAAGGGAATACAAAATACAAGTCAGAACATACTAGAGTGAGGTGAATGAGGGAATCTTTCTGGAGGAGATGGATTGTAGGCTCGGGCTTCAAGGAGTGACAAGCAGTGGCCTGTGCTAGGGAGCATTTTGTCTCCATTTATCCATTTGGGGGGGTGCAGAAAGGGTAACTTGAAATGTATAATGACCTCAAATTTCCATGTGAGTCAAGTGACTTTTGGGGGTGTGGGGGATTTTTGTGTTCTGATGCGTATCCATGGGTAATAAAGGACCTGGAGATGCAAGTATGGGGCAGTGCAGGCAGCAGCCAGCATGAGCAAAGATGTAGATGGTGAGTGTGCTTGTACGAGGGCTGGCAGGGCGGGAAAAGCAGGCCTTGGTGGGGAAAGTCAGCAGTGAATGTGTTTGAACTGGTTAGAACCCCCTCTCAACAGACCCTCATCTCTCCTGTCTTTCTCTGCAGAAGGATGTAACAAAGTTCACTTCCACCTGCCCTACCGGTGGCAGGTGCTACTTGGAAGCACCTGGCGAGACCTCCAGCTAATGGAGTCTATTGAGCAGGCCTATTGTGACCCCAAAATCTCCGTGTAAGTTGGTGGCTGGACTCTGGCTTGAGAGATCCATAATATCATCAAAGGAAGGCAGTGTGTGAGGCTTATGGGAAGAAGAAAAAAATTTCCTTTAGGGTCCTATTCAAGTTTGAGATAAAAAACAGCAAATGCCTGCTGAGTTAATAGGAAACAAACAAACCCATAAGCTGGGTAGATTGGAAGTCACACAGCCTGGCTAATACGAGGAATTCTGGGACTGTTTGCTAACTCACATGAAATAAACAGTGACACAATTATTTGTTTAGTTACTATTTGTCCGTGTATCCAGGAAGAAACCCAGTGCAGAGGTCTTGAAAGCACTAAATGATTAGCTCAAAAGAGCCTTTGGCTTAATTTCATAGCTTTAGAACGTGATTTGAGCAATTGCATATAGTTTTAGTGCAAAATTTTGTTGTTTTACTTTAGCATTTTACACTTTCCCTTATGTTTGCTAGGTTCTCTATCCTAGAGGTGTCTAAGGGGATACCTTATATTTCTGTTTCTGTCAGGGCTGGAACGGGTGATACCACACATGACCATATTTATAAGATGCATCGTAGTTTTATAAGGAACTTCTTTGGGGCAAAAAAATTACGTCAGTGTGGTCATCTCCAGATTTAATGACTTTTTGGTGGAGAGTCAGTTTCTGCATTTTGCCACTAGAGGGTGGCATCAGCTATTTCCTTGTTTCTAGTTGACTCCCCCCACCCCTCCACATGGGTAAATCTGAAGCAGGGTTTCTTGATCTTAGCACTACGGACTTTTTTTGGAGCCAGATAATTATTTGTGGAGGGAGGTGGGACGGTTTAGCAGCATTCCTGGCCTTTATCCACTGGATGTCAGTTGTGATAAGCAAAACTGTCTTTAGACATTGCCAAATGTCCCCAGGGGGACAAAATCATTCCTTGTTGAGAACCACTGATCAAGGAGGTATAGCAATAATTCTCAAACTTTTTGGTATGAGCCTTAAAAATGTAGTGAAGATCCCAAAGAGCTTCTGTCGATGTGGATTATAGCTATCAATATTTATCATAATAAAAATCAAAAACTGAGAAAAATTAAATATTGATTCATTTAAAAAGTAATAAATTCATTACATGTTAACGTAAACAGCATTTAATATAACTATATGTATATAATTCTATTTAGTTATATGCATCTAACTATACCTGTAATATATATATATATATATAACATAAATAAACTGTTTTCCAAAACAAAACAAAAGAAAACAAAATTCATTGAGAAGAATGACTGTTTTATACTGTAGGAAATCTCTTTAATCTATTGTGAAATCACACATCATGTAGCCTCTGGAAAGCTCCACTGTCCACCTGTGAGAATATGCAAGTGAAAAGGGCAAATGATGTCTTCATATTATGGAAATAACTTCGACTTTGCTGGCTCTCTGAAGAGGTCTAGGATTATACTTTGATAGCTATTTAATTAATAATTGAAAAACTGGCCTACCGAGAGCTTCTAATTCACTTTCTAACATTGAGGCAATCAACTGTTTTGTGGGCACAGTTTTATTGTAGGCTATTTTTTGAGGAAAGAATCCATTTTGGGGCACCAGTAAATATGAGGGGTAGGCAAGTTACATTAATCTATCTCTGTATCTTCATTTTTTCTTTTGTGTGTAAGACCTGGGGCTGTCTCAAAAAAAATTCGAAGCTCCCCCTTAGCTCTAAAAATTTAATGCTGTGCTTTTGTTAGGGAAGACCAGATTGTAGGAAACAGAGGTCAAGGTAACATTTTGTTAACTGTAAACTTTCCCCCCTCAGCATTTCTGTGAGAAATTATAAAATCAATTTCCAGAAAATGACTTGCGATTCAAGTCCTCTCCGACGTATCTCCACGCCTTCATCTGTCACTGTGCCAGATAATTCTGCCTTCAGCACAAAATGGATTTGGTATTGGAGGAATGAATTTGACGAATGGGTTGAATATGGGAAGAAGGTGAGTCCCATTCTTTCCGGTGGAGGCACGTGTTTAAACTTGCCAACTCTAGGAGAAAACTATTGCTAAAATGACGCCTACGTGGTTACCCTTGGAGAGTGGACATGGTAGAGAAGTGCAGCTTTTTTATATTATACACAAATAACTGTATTTGCTTATTTTTTAAAAAAGATTTTATTGGGGAACTGGGGGAGGGGGACAGAGTTGGGGAAGGGGAACCGCCAAGTTGTTGTCCTTCAATCTTAGTTGTGGAGGGCGCAGCTAGCTCAGCTCCAAGTCCAGTCGCCATGCGGCCTCCCGTCGGCAGCTCAGTGGCAGCTCAGCTCGGATGAAGCTCACTGGCCCATGTGGGAATCGAACCAGCGACCCTGTTGTTCAGAGCTCGCTCTCTCAACCAACTGAGCCACTCCGTCGGGCCCCCCCCCTTTTTTTTTAAGCAAACATGTACTCTGATTACAGTCAAAAACAAAAACATATTAATTACTTTTAAGGAAATGCTTGAGACGTGAGTCAGCCACCTGTCCCTCTTTCCTTTCTGTCCGACTGGGGTGGAACCTTGAGCTAGCTTTCTGTGACTGGACCTACAAGATTGTAGGCTTAGCCACACAGGGACATACTAATTGGGGAATAGTTTAGGTAAGTAGACTACTGCCTGTTGTTCCTTCCTCCTCCCTTTGATTCATAGGATGAGAGAGAGAGAGGGAGAGAGAGAGAGAGAGAGAGAACTTAAGTAGTCACTGAAAGCAGATTGATGAGGCAGAGAAAATAAAAGCAACAGATTAAAATGAAGCCAAAGACAAAGCAGGGACGCGGAAATGCCAGCATAAGTTTCAACAAAGTTAGAAATTGATGGGCCATAAACCTGGCTCTGAGCTGCCTAGCTGCCAAAGTGAATAAGGAAACACAAGCTGTTATAAGTTCCTCTTGCCTCTATGAGAAGAACTCTTGAGAAGCACCCCTTTTTTTCTGTTAGTGGGGCCTGAGGAAAACATCTCCTATGGGGTCACATAGAAGGGACTGTGTATGCTGTGGTGGGGTCCTAACAAGGCCCCTACTGTCACTACTGTAGCCCTGTGGTTTCCCAGCGGCCTTAGCAGCAGGTACATGTTACCACGTCATCCTTCACAGAAGCTCAGTGAGCACACAGGAGTCACAAACCAGAGCTGCCCTGTGGAATCAGGCTAGGGGCTCACAGCCTGGTCTCTGGGTCTCCCTCCCCTTTACTCTCCTCTCTCCTGTGGTGGCCTCTGGACCACCTCGGGGTGAAAACTCCCCGGATGTTGGGCTTTGTACAAGTCCTTTTTATGTTCAAGCCAAGAATAGTCAGTGCAGAGTCGTAACAGTGATTCTTCGAGGTGCCTGTGGAATAGAAATTATAAAGTCAAGTTAATTCGCTGTGGTTACAATAAAAACAAACTATAGGTCTCAACGGTTCTTATGCCAAATACTTGAAATTTTCAGTAAGATAAGGGAAAAGCGTTGGAAAACATTTGCATTCTTGTGATATCAGGGTCTCAGAGACTAAAGCGAGCTCTCAGTGGGAAACACATTTAAATTTACACAAGTTCCATCGTTCATGTTCCCTAGTAAAACATCAGGAAACTTCCTGATAAAACTTCTTTCGTACAGAGTTCTCCCTGGGACATTCAGTCTGTGTTAAATGCAGAGTTTTAGAATGTGACTTTCAACCTGCAAACACATAAAATGATGCACTCATTCAACCTATGGCACATGTTCTCAAGGATGTGAATAAACGCATGCTCTTGTATTAACGAGAACCAGCATTCTATAAATTGAGTTGGCTCTCCTGTTATTAAAAAAAAAACCCAAAAATGGAAAATAGGTCCTAGATTGAGTGTTTTTCTTGCTGGCTCTCCAATTGAACTAAAAATATGGTGGTTCCAGGAGATTTAAACACAAACCTAATGAGCAGCCTGGTTTCACCCTGGGTACAGGTTAGAATATTTAGAGAAAAGAGTGGATTGTATAGCCTTTAGACAGGGCCCTGCAGGTTTTATTTCCTATAACTGAATTTTTAATAAGAAATTGAGATTTTCAGGTTAGAACCTCCCTAGTAGGAACTGGGAGAACAGAAACTTTTACCAAAAGTGGGTAGGTACATGTGCTTTGACAGTGGACTCTCTGGAAGGTAGACTCAAATCCTTTTATGTAAATTACGGTGCTTAACCAGGACTTGTCCCAACATAGATGGTAGAGACGGAGAGGATGTGGTTTTGGGAGAAGTGATGACAGGCAGTTGGGCAGCAATAGTGTAGGCCGGACCTATAGCCGGAGTGACAGGAGGGCAGAGTTTGGTAGTCACGGGGCTTGTATCCGCCAGTGGATACAGGTTCCTGAAACACATTCCAGTTCATTACCACTTTGCCCTCTGGATATTTACTCAGCTTTTCTGTCCCCACCACGTTCCTCTCCAGGCTACAGAGACCAAGTTCAGGCCCTTCTCCATTCAGGACATTTTCCGTGGAGGCTTTCATTCTGGTACCCTCTCCTAATATCCAGCAGGCATTTCATTAGAGAAGAGGCAGTGGGATGGGTATAGCTGAAAGCTACCGAGTCTGCAATGTCATTACAGGGACGGGGAGCCCCTCCCCACCCGGGGCTGCCCGCAGGATTTTGCTCTCATTAGCGCCTCCATTCTAGATCACGAAGAACAAGAATCGCCATTAAATATTGGGATCCCCTGTGATTAGGGATGTAAACATCCAGTCTGCCCCCGGGCTGTCACCCTTGCTGTAGAATGGAGGCAATGGAACGGTGGCTTAGCCTGCCCCCTTGCCAGAATCAACACACTTCCCTTTTGCCCACTCATTCTGATGTTCAGCCCCTTCATAAATGTCTGGTGACATATTTATATATTGGGGAGGTGTTTCTTGCCCCTTTCTTTGTAGCCGCAGTCAGTAGCAAATTCAAGTGCTTTTTCAGTGTCAGGGACTGACCGGAGGCTCGGTCAGTTTTATTTGCTTACTCTGGTTCAGTTCAGAGGAGAGGGGCTTGGTCATCTACATTTGGACAGCAGCACACCTACTGGGGCTCTACCTGCTTTACTGCAACCCCGCCCTGCGCTTTCTCATGATGTGATGCACTAAAATAGGTACGCTGTTCTCCATCATGACAGAGCGTCGGTTTCGTCAGCCAGCACAGACACGATGTCTGCACTGTGGGTCTGAGTTGCTCGGTACACTTGGGTCCTATTTTATGAAAGGTGTAAAAAGATTATATTGCAAAGAGCTGTATTTTTCAGGCTGACAGTTTCTATAGGGGAGACGCTTCTCTCCGAGCCCCAGGAAGGAGGAGACAACAAAAGGGTGTGATGTGGCCCCAACCTGAAAGCCTTTACAATCTGGTTGGGGAGTCAAGATGCATTGTTCTTTCAAATCCATGGCTAACATAAAATTATAGAAGATACAATGGTAGAGATTTCTTAAAAGCCCACCCTGAAGTCTTTTTCTCCTTTTTTTTTTTAATTAGAAAAACAATCAGCACATTTCCACCGTCGACTCTTTATACCTGGAGTCTTTCTTCCTGTGCTGTCCAAGGGGGATTGTGCCGTTTCAGGTGGGCTCCCAAGACTACGAGCTGAGTTTCCAAGGTAAGTAAGCTTTGGCGTTTGGCAGTGGCGTGTGGCATTGGATTCCGGCATGAGGTGCACATGTAGGACGGGAGCAGAGCGGGCCTGCATGCTGCACCCATGACCCAGGTTCTTTTTAGCAAGACCAGCAGCCTGGGTGGGGCATGGCAGCCTGTGGCTGTCAGAAGACCTATCCTCTAGAGCAGCGGTTCTCAACCTTCCTAATGCAGTTCCTTAATACAGTTCCTCATGTTGTGGTGACCCCAACCATAAAATTATTTTTGTTGCTACTCTATAACTGTCATTTTGCTACTGTTATGAATCGTAATGTAAATATCTTTTTGTTTTCCGATGGTCTTAGGCAACCCCTGTGAAAGGGTCGTTAGACCCCCAAAGGGGTCGCGACCCAGAGGTTGAAAACTGCGCTAGAGCCTTGGCTGTGACTCCCAGTGGCTGCGTAACCCTGGGAGGAGCACCTGGCTTCTTGAGGCCTCAGTTCCCTCATCTGTAAAATGAAGGGGATTGGACTCCAGGGGGTACTTGCAGCTCTGCCATTTCTAAGTTTCACATTCCAGCTGTGCTACTTCTCAGGCTGAGGCAGAATTTTCAGGTGCCGATGACTTTAATAGAGACCCTGGGCCCTGTGGGTGCCTTCAGGATATTAGAACCTTGCTGTTCCTTCTAGGCATCACCATCTCGGTCAGTGGTTTCACCCACCACCTTTTCCACAGACTTTGCCTTCCGCCATGTCTACCTGAGTCACCATGGAAAGGTCTTCCGGGTAGCTTCTCCCAGTATGTTGTGTTTAGTAAGAAATCAGGGCAGAACAGGCCTCCCTCTGAAGGTGCTGTCCCGTAGGCTGCACCCCTGGGTTGCTCCCTTCCTGTGGGCTGGTGCTTGCTTTTTTAGGAGCAGCCCGAGCCTTGCAGGTGCTTTGAAAAAGGAAAAGGTCCTTGACCTTCCCAGGTGGTAACTGAGATTTGGGCCCTGTACCAATGACTGTGTGTTAAGCAGTGTTGCTTTGAAGGACCATTGTACCAACTCCTTTGGAAAGCAACCTGGCACTACATGTCAAGAGACATTAAAATATGCTAAAATAGAGGAACAGCCTGAGGACCAGTAGGGCAGGACCAAACAAACTGGGTATTAAATTTCAGTGGAGTATTGGGTCGTTGTTAAACAATTATGATTATGAAAACTATGTGGTGAAAGCAAAGTTTGATATTGTTAAAAGCAAAATTTGGTATTGTTAAATGAGAACCCCCATTTATGTTTCTGTGCTTTTCTGTTTGTATGTTATATTTACGATGGAAAAGATTTTTTAAAAACAAATTGATGTGCATGTCAAGTGCAGCTGTGTATGCATGGGGACTGAGTCTGGAAGGCCACAGAGGGAATAAAAATCTCTTCTGTCAGATGGTGAAATTAAAAGTGACTTAAGTTAAAATTTGTTTTCTTTGGTGATGGTCTGTCACTTTGACAATGTAAAAGGGTGGTGGGCAGATGAAAACCAATGTACCTGTTTCTGAGTCTGACCAGTAATTTCATTCACTTGCTGCATACAAAGTACTTCAGGGCAGTTTGCAGGGTTCCAGACTCTTTTTTTTTCTATTTCTTATATTTGCCCATTCATTAAACTAGTATCGGAGCATCAGCTGTATGCCAGGCACTGTTCCAAATGCTGGCAAGCCAGGCAATTTCAGAAAGTGCTTACAGCTATGGGGAAAAGAGCAATGTGATGAAACAGCGAGAGAATGGAGGAGTCACGGGAGACAGCCCACTTTTATCAGGAGGAAACTTTGGAAGGGAAGGCGGGCTCTCCAGGAGAGAGGAGACTAGCGCTAAGGCTATAAGCTGCAGATGAGCCTGAGGTTTTAAAGAACAGCAAGAAGGTCTGTAAGAGATGAGCGCAGACATAGAAACTTGGATGTTTTATGAGCTGGAAACCAGGTGAAGGTTGTGGCATGATCTGAGTGGCTCTTTGTGTTGTTGTATATGTTTTAGTTCACATCAACTACACTGAGGCGTAATTGCTATTAATAAAATAAAATGCATGCATTAAAAAAAATTTTTTTATAGGGGAACAGTGTGTTTTTCCAAGCTCCATCAAACTCCAAGTCAAGTGGTTGTTTCAATCTAGTTGAGGGCATTTTTCCAGAACCCGTCAGCTCCAAGTCAAGTATTTGTTTCAATCTAGTTGTGGGGGGCCCAGCTCAGTGGCCCATGTGGGGATCAAAACCGGCCACCTTGGTGTTATGAGCACTGTGCTCTAACCACCTGAACTAACCGGCTGCCTCAATGCATGCATTTTAAGTGTGCAGTTGGATGAGTGCTGACAAATGCATGCCTCTACTATCCTAATCAAGATATAGAACATTCCCGTCAATCCAAAAAGTTTCCTCATGCCCGTTTGCCATCAGTCTTCTACTCCCCACCCCCCAACCCCCAATGATTTACTTTCTGTCACTATAGATTTGTTTTATTTATTTTAGAACTTCATATAAATAGTCTTGTAGTATGTACTCTGCATGTGGCTGGCTTCTTTCGCTCAGACTGTTTTATTAGATTCATCCACGTATGTTGTTATAGGTATAGTAAGTAGTTTTTCCCTTTTCATTGCTTTCAGAATTTTCCATTGTAAGGATAGATGCATGTGCACACACACGCAGTTTGTTTATCCATTCACCTGTTGAGGGATATTTGGGTTGTTTTCACTTTTTGGTTATTATAATAACACTACTAGGAACATTCAAATGCAAGTCTTTGTGTGTATATAGGCTTTAGTTTCCTTTGGGTAAATACCAAGGAGTGGGATTGCTAAATCATATAGGCGGTATGTGCTTAACTTTGTAAGGAAATGCCAAACAGTTTTCCCAAGTGGTTATGCAATTTTACATTCTCACTAGCAATAGATGATGATTTTCTTTTTAAAGAGATCACTCTGGCTGCAGCTGTTGGACCTAGGCCTATAATATGCATGAATTGAAAATGACATTTCACATCTGATGTAGAAAAAAAACCTTCAAAATACATCAACCGCATTTCAACCCACAATCACTGATGCCTGGTTTAGGGCACATACATGGCTGATGTCTTATCTGGCGACCCTAGCTCTCCTCTTTACCACCTGACTTTGATTTAAAGATTAGATTAACTGCTAACTGCTCTTTTACCTCTTTGTTTTCTGGGTCTTCTAAAAAGGGCAGTGAAGATTACAAGTTTTTATTGTGAGCAATTTCCATCCAACAGGATTTTCTCTATTTGTACATGCACAGTTCAGACACAAATATTTGCTATGTCACTAGCCTCTGAAAAATAACAACAAACCATTTTCTAGGACAAATTTTTTTTTTTCTTAAGATTTTATTGGGGAATTGGGGGAGGGGACCAGCCAAGTTGTTGTTCTTCAATCTTTGTTGTGGAGGGCGCCAGTCACCACCTGGCTTCCCATCTGCAGCTCATGGCCTCTAAGCGCAAGGTGCTGTGTTCAATCTTAGTTGTGGGTGGGCATAGCCACCATCCTATGCGTGAGTCGAACCAGCAGCCCTGTTGTTAAGAGCACACGCTCTATCCACTGAATCATCCAGGCAGCAGCCCAGCTCAAGGCACCGAGTTCAGTCTTAGTTGCAGGTGGGGGTAGCCCACCATTGAACAGGCAATCTTGTTGTTATACCAGCTGAACCATCCTGCCACCTGTTGGCAGCTCAACGGCAGCTCAGCTCAGGCGCAGCTCTCTGGCCCATGTGGGAATCGATCTGGTGACCCTGCTGTTCAGAGCTCATGCTCTTAAGCCAACTCTTAACCAGCTGAGCCACTCGGCCGGCCCTCTAGGACGAATTCTTAATATCTCTTGGTTTTCTTCTTTCTGTCTAAAGGGATGATTCAGACAAACATCCTTTCCAAGACCCAAAGGGATGTCATCAGAAGGCCAGCATTTGTGTTTGCCTGGGACATGGAACAGATGAGAAGTGGACCTGAGTAAGTGTTCTGAGGCACTGCTTCCTGGCAAGTGTTTGAGATGGGCACTCACTGATCCCACCGAGTCACTCATGAACCTGGAGCCTGTTTTTTTGAAATGTTCTGTTGTGTTGCATTGCAGTGTCCTTTTGCATTATCCGTCAGTGAGGTGCTTTTAAGCAGCACGGTGTGACAGAAAAAATAGTAACTCACAGGGGACTTCCGGCCAGTTCCTTAACTACTGTGGGGCCTCAGCTGCTTTCGCTGTGATTGGCTGGATTAATGGGGCGTGCCTGGGTAATAGTCAAATGCACTGGGTTTGGTTTTGCTGTGAGCTCTGTGTGTCCTTAGTTTTATTGAGGGAATTTACTAGAGGGTGGGAAACTGAAAGCAGTGGGAAGAAAAAAAAGGGTTGAGGTAGCTAGCTGCCTGAGCAAGGGGATTGGGAGAACGCTAAAGTTGACGAAAGGGGATTGTGAAAGAAAAGTTTGCTATGTCGGATTCAATGTAATTCTCTCCTCTGTCTGCTCATGACACTCAGTAAAATTGACATTGTTTATGAACATTTTTGGAGTTGGATTTTTTTTCCCCCTGGGTGATATGTGATGACATAAAACAGGTTTCAAGGCAGGTGTAAAATCAATGTGTTCTAATTAGGTTCTTTTGGTTGTAAGTATTAAGGCATTGCATATAAAAGGGAAGTTACTGAAAGGGTCAACATGGTGTGGTAAGGGCAGGAACTGAGCGGTTCAGGGCCTCGGAATGGGAATGTGTTTCAATTCTGCTTTACAACCTGAGTGGCCTGGCGTCACAGGTCCCTGTCTGTGGCCAGATTTCCAGCCCTGACTCTGTAATTTTTTTTTTTTTTTTTTACTGGAGAACAGTGTGTTTTTCCAGGGCCCATCAGCTCCAAGTCAAGTAGTTGTTTCAATCTAGTTGTGGAGGGCGCAGCTCAGTGGCCCATGCAGGGATCGAACCCACAACCTTGGCGTTATGAGCATTGCGCTCTAACCAACTGAGCTAACCGGCTGCCCCTCCAGCCCTGACTCTTGATCTACATTCCTCGGTTCAGATTCTGCCTGCTACGCATTAGTTGCGTGAATTTGGACACCCCTCATCTATGAAATGGGCTTAATAATAGTATGTTTGTCAAGGTGGCTTGGTGAATACACGGGGGACGCTCAGAACAGTGGCCAGCATGTCAATCTGGTCAGTCAGTGTTAGCTGCTTTTCTTCTTCTTTTTATCCCCCTGCTGTTGACAGTCTCATTGACCAGAGATATTTATATCTATTTCTATATCTATATCTCTGAATACTTTCTGTGACTTATGGTTGACAGTGTTAACCTCAGAATTGCAAATCTTCATATCGCCTCAGCCTTACCTTCTGTCGCTGCTGCCTGATTTACTCTGAATTTCTTTTTTTTCTTCTTTTTTTTTAGCTGAGCCATCCTGTCACCTGTTGGCAGCTCAGGTCAGGCCGGGCAACGAACCGGCGTCCCTGTTGCTCAGAGCTCGCGCTCTTGAGCGAGCTCTTAACCAACGGAGCCATTCGGCCAGCCCCTGAATTTCTTAATTCAAGTTCCCAAGAGTAGAATTGGATTGGCCTAGCCATCTAGGGTCCCTTCCAGTTCTTTTAAAATTCGAATGAATAAAGTAAAAATATGGTGGGGTTGGGAAGAGTACTGTTTATGCCCTCAGTGGAACTTATGCTCTGCTGGCTAAGACAACAGAAGTAACTACTTCAGTTAGTGCTACGCATTAACAGAGCAGGACAAGAAGGGAGTGTCATTTTCATTCAGGCAATGAAGGAGATCATTGCAGCTACTTCTTCTTCCTTCAGATGGTTCTGGCAGGATGTTGCCACAAAAGTTTGTTTATACTGTATTTCCTTAAAGCACCTTGTCATTTTGACTTTTTAACAATTCGTATACTCCCCTTTGGTCGCAACCAGTGAGACCATACTTGGTTGCGTTTCTGGACAGTGGATGCTATCCAGATTTATGTGCCCTTCTAACTTCGGGCTGGGTGGTTCTTTCTGTGCACATATGTTTCCAAGAGAAGACATTGGTTTGCGGCGTTTCCAAATATTTCATGATGTCAGTCGATTGTTTATCTCAATAATTTACAGGGCATAGCTGCCTCATGCTTTTCCATGGGCCCTTCCCCGTCTATGGCAACATCCTCCCCGTCCCTCATAGGAATCTAGCATCTTTCCTGGCCCAGCTCGAATGCCACGTTCCCATGCAAACCTTACTTGGGGTGGTCCCCCAATCCCCTCCAATAACACTTTATAAGTCCCTGGTAGTCATTACCCCATTCTACCTTGAAACACAGTTATTTGTGTAACCGTCTTCCCTAGCACAGCTCTCCCATCCTCTTCCCTGCCCTGCACAATTATCAGCTCCTCAGAGCTCTTGAACTATTTTGCATCGTGAAGGTATATAGTGATACTAAATGCATAGCTAGTGAGTGGATGAATCACTCACTGTCACTCGCCCAGAAGAGACACATTTGCCTTATGATAGAATGAGGGCTGTGAGTTCCATCCTGCACAGCCTGACCGAAGACACATGAACTATATAGCACACGTTATAGTTGATGGGCACCTTAAAGCAATTGAATCTGCTCTGTGCGAGACAAATTCAGCATGGATTGGGGCCAATCTCTCATTCCAAAAGAATCTTCATTTTACACAAGGGAATCATTAAAGAATTTTTCCTTAAAGCATTTTTAAAAATGTAATGTCTTCATTATGGAAAATTTCAAAGTTCAACAAAGTAGAGAAAATTGTACAATAAATCCTTGTGTCTATGCAGGGGGCGGTCATGTGGAGAACACCAAGTTCAGTGACTCAATAGTTTATCATTCTTGTTTCACTTAATCTCTACCATCGTCTCTTAAGTTTTTTTCTTTTGGTGGAATATTTTCATGTAAATCCCACACATCATATTTCACTGTAAATACTTTGGGTATATCTAACAGATAAGGAGTTTTAAAAAAAACACATACCATTAACCCATTTAACAAAATTGACAATTCCTTAATATCATCTAATACCCAGTTCATGTTCTGTTTTTTTCCCATTGCCTCAAAAATGATTTTTTACCGTTTATTTATTCCCATTTGTATCAAAAACAGGGTATATCCATTGCATTTGATAGATTTGTCTCTTAAGCCTCTTTTAATCTATTACAGTTTCCCTTCTTCTACCTTTTTTTAAAGATATGAGGTGATTTGTTTTTTAGAATTTCCCCAATTCAAAATGTAGCAAATTGTATCCTCATGGGGTCATTTGAGTGTAATTTCTGTGAATTGATGGTTAAATATAAAGGATTGATTAGATTCCGGTTCCATTTTGGGTCAAGAATATTATGTGAGTGGTGCTATGTACTTCCTGTCACGTACTATTAAGAGGTAAATAATGTCTGGTTTGCCTGCTTTTAGTGATGAAGATGGGAGAATGGGTTCATGTCATTTCAGTCTGATCCCTCCAGTTTTACATTTCTCATCTTATCCTTCACTTCATGGTTTTGTAGCTACTGATGACTGTTTAGATCCATTATTTCATTAGGGATTGCAAAATGATGGTTTTCTAATTCTGTCAATTCTTCTGTAATTAATAGCTGTGACTGTCTATAAAAAATAATTTTCCCTCGTGTATGGTTACCCTGAAATATAGTTCGTAGGTAGCAGGATTCTTTTCCCTATTAACCCTAATACTGAAATGTTTATCATTTGACATGGAAGCTATAAAACACACTTAATTCTAATCCATTAGGATCTTTGAAGGTTGAGGAGAAATATAAAAAAGAATCAGTCCTTTTTACATTTTAAATGAATGGGAAAATAGCACTTAATTAATTTACCAAAGTATGAATAATTCTGCATTTTTAAAAAGCATGGTGGTGCCTGGCACATCTGTATTAGAAATATGCAGGGATGTGTTTAAAGAAAAACTCCTCTGAGAAACCTTTGTTTAGTGTCTGGAAGTTAAGGGCAGAAAGTCACTTGGGCGTGTGGGACAGGAGACAAGTGAATTCTTACCCTTTCTTATTTGTAGCCATCAGCCGACGCAGATCCAGTCAGAGCCTATAACCGTGGCACTTCCTTCTCAGTGCAACAGTCCCCTGAAGAAATATGAGGTACTTGGTTTTTACTTTTTGGTGGGTGAGTTGTTTAAAGGTGGGGAAAAGTGCTTTGCTTCACATGTGTGTATTTGTTCGAGTGAAAGAAGGAAAACTCTTGGATCAAGATTCAAAGGCAGACATCGAAATGGCGATTATGTCACTTCCCCAGGAGACAGTGAGCCTCTGTGGGGTGCCTTAGTGTTTCCAGAGTCCAGCCACACAGGGCCTCATTTGGGCAGACCCTCACAACAACCCTCACAAGTCTGACTTTATGGATGAGAACACTGAACCTCGGAGAGGAAAAGTGACTTGCCCATTGGTTGGAGTTAAAATGATGGTTTCAGTGGGAGACTCACAAACTATGCCTCACCTCGTCACAGACTGTCCTGGTTGGGGCAAGACTTTTTATATTGTTTAGTCTCCATGTCAAGCTCCATTTTGGGGTGCAGGCCATTTTATTTGAACACCGTGAGCACCTCCATTGCCTCTGCCTCTACAGTGGCTTGAGACAAGGAACTCGTCAAGTCTCTGGACTAAATCAGACACTTGGGGGCTGGGGGCGGGAGGGGGGGCTCCCTCTGCCCTTAGCCCTTAGGCATAATGCTTTGTTAGCCATAACTCAGCCTGAATAGTAGACGGGCCCAGTGCCAGCTAGTTCATTACTACAGTGAACTGCCATATGGGGAAACCTACGCCAGCTTATCCCACCCGCTTTCAGAGGTTTGCAAGGATACCCCATGGCATAGTGGGCCATACATGTGGACATATTGTGCTTTAAATGTTTCCTGGTTCACATTTCTATATTTAAAAAATTTTTTTTAGTTGTTAGAGTTGAATACCGAGCATATGGAATACACCCTAATAAGCGAGCATTTTAAAGCAACCATGAAAAATGCCAAGATTTTAAGGATAAGGAAGATCAAGAACGCACAGCTCCTGGATGCTTTCGAAAGGTGGGTGCCACATGATCAAGTTTCTTTACGTAAAGTTTGAAAGGATTAGTTAAGATCTATCCTTTAAGGCGTATATTCACTGGTTTATTAGTCAGCAGTGTCTTCCATCTCTGGTTTTCATTGTGTAAACTGGAGGCTTCTGCCTTTCAGCTTTGGTTTCACAATTCAGTGTTTTCACATGTTTATCATTTAAAAGTTATCATAATTTTTCTTTGTAGCTGTTGCCTTAATGTTAGTAGCTCCATTCTGAATGCTGGTGAAGTAAAACTTTAAGATGATTAGACTATAGTTGGGATTAATGTTATTAACCAGAGTAGGAGAGAAACGTTCTCGGTATTAAGTTCCATATTTCCTGTATTAGGAGAAAAATGAAGATGAAGAACAGCAGCGAAAAAAGGCTGTTTTGTGCAGCAGGCCGCACCGTTGTGGAGTCTATCTGTGAGAATAATTTTGAGTGGATCCTGCATGGAGTGTTTGAAACCAAATATGGAAAAGGTTTGTGCTGGCATGGAGAAGCCTAGCTTGTAGAGTCATAACTCAGCTCAACACGTGCTTCTATTACGAGGTATTTGTGATTATTTTATATTAACCAGAATGTCCAGGCTTTCACAGTCATGGAGAGAAAATAAGCTCACCTTAACCTTAAGTGCCCAAATTAGAGTGGTAAGTGGATTTGGGACTTGATTGCTATACCTTAGCCTGGGTTCTGTCTTCTGGGTTTTTGGTTTGTTTTTTTGTTGTTTTTTTTGGCGGTGCAGTCGGGTGGTTCAGTGTCTCAGACCTGTTGGCTATGTTATATACCATTGCTACTCAGTTCTGGCCATGGCTCTTCCTGACCTATGTCAATCCCTGCAAAGCCACTTGAAGTAGCCTTGTATTGCCACTGATGAACTCTAATCAAAGGTGGGGAAAGAGGCCTCTCCCTATCTCAGGCCACGCTGGGTCACCTGGGGACTGAAGTAGCACAGGTCTGCTCACACACAGGATCTTTTCAGCTCTTTTCACTTTGCTTCTAAACTCCTTCATGCAACTCTTAGAGACAAACAAAAAAACAAAAGAATCTCTCATCTTAAGGATACAAGTAATAGTTTACCAAGTTTCAAAGTGGACTCAACTAATACAACTAAGATTAAATTCACACACACACACACACCCCCGCCCCCCCCCCCAAAAAAAAAGCCAGAAGCTAATCAGTCCATCAACAAATACTTTGAGTGCCTGCTGTACGCTAGATGCTGGGGACACAGTGGTGGACAAATTAGACATGACTTTCCTAATTATTTCACATAATTAATTCAATGATTGCAAGTGTGGAGCTGCTGGAGAGGAAAAGAGTAGGACCTGTGGACACTAACCCAGCTGGTGAGGTGTTCCCAAGGAAAGGCAGGTAGTGGGGTTCATCTGAGCATCCAGAGTTAGCGTGTAGAGTAAGAGACAACTGGTGCAAAATATGGCCACACAGTAAAGAATTCAGACTTGACCCTCAGGGCATCAGAAGCCAATGAAGGGTTTTAAGCTGGAGGATGACTTGATGAGAATTTCATAAGTTCATTCAAGTTTAGAGGCATCACTAAAACTTACCAAAAATGTTTGCAGAAAGTGGGGTCACCATCTTGAGTGAAATATAACGTGAGTGACATTTAAAGCCCATCAGTTTCTCAAAGCCTCTCTTGTGTCTGAACTCATGTATCTATGTTAGAAAATGGAAATACAGTATTAGATGGGTTCCCGGTTTGGGCCATAACTGGCTCCGATGGTGACATATATGAGTGCTTAGTCTGTTTCTCCTCTTTTATCAACAGAAGGGGATTGAAGCTCTCTGAAGTATATTTTGATGGTTCGATAGTGTTCCTTGCATGCTATCATTTTTCCTTTAACTTGGTGAAAGGGGAGAGTTTGTTGACCACCAAGAGATCACCCTTGTACAGCTGGGATGTGCTGTGTGCAGTTCTCAGATAGGCAAGGTGTTTCTCAAGGAACTTCACCGTTTTTCCCATGCCTCCCTCCCTTGTGAAGGTCAGGGAGTGATCCTTCTACTTGGCCCGTCTCTCGTTACACAGAACTAGGAGGGGTTTTTGTTTTGTTTGTATTTCTTTTTAATATCAGCTTTCCATTCCCATCACCCATGATGCTGTTCGTCCTGGCTAGAGCGACTGGTGTGAACCACTGGGCCCGTAATCTTACAAAGGTCAGGCAGTTTATCCTAGAAGAGCCCAAGTGGTAGGGTTCAGAGATACCGCTGCTCCCTGAAGGAGAACAGAGCCCCCCGTGCACATGTGAACCCACTCTGGGAAGGCTGTTATCTCCGTGCTTGTGTATGTGACTGTGTTTAAGGGGCATTGAGCCAGTAGCACATGCCTGGGAAGATAGAAGGGCTCTGAGCTACAGCTTGATAAACCAGAGGTGGAAAGCAGGCATCTGGGAGGTGGAGGATAAAAGTGAGAAAAACAGAACTGATCAGTCTGGAATGGAAAGAGCCATAGCAGTTAAGTAAAAACCACAGAACCCTACAGAGGAGCTTAAAAAAACTTAAATTTGGATATAAAGCAGAAGAAGGTGAAATTGGAAAAAGAAGTCCCTGCTTGGGCAGTAGCTAAGCAAAGGACTGTCCTGGCACAAACTGGACTCAAGAGGCTAGATGGGCAGCATGTCAGGCCAGGGGGCATATTTAAGATGTGGGGGTCCTGCCTGGTGTCACATCTATAAAACCTCCCAAGATTCTGCAGCCCAGGTACATCAAGATGCTACGTGGTTAGGAGGAAAGACACAAAAATGTTACTTTTGAAGATAATATGGGTGCCTATGGAGAAAACCCCAAAGAATCTACAGAGAATTGGAATGTTGATGTTCTACACAGGAAGTGAGATACACGCTTCCCTCGGCTGCTGGACCTCTGTCATCTCCGACTCTAGCCCAGGCCCCTGGATGACTGAGTCAGAGCCAACTTGACCGTTTTTGCCTCTCAACCTAGACAGGGCTCCTTTCCTTGGTCTTTTATTCAGTTTTTTTTTTCTAAATAGTTAACAAAGCCTGTTGTTTATGGCAGTGCGTTTCTAGATCCTATTTTGGTCATCGAAAGCTGATCATGATTCTTTCTCCTTATATATTCCTTCCAATGAGTCTAAGTCGAAGACAAATAATGTGCCTGGCAATGAAAAATGGTTATGTTCAAACAAAAAAAATCGCAAAAAACACCTCACAGCACAATGTTTTTGGCAGTATTATCCCATTACATCAATCACAGTGAGTGAATGAAAGAAATGAATACTGTAGATTACAGAAAGTCAGCATATTGTGAAATCTAAGTGTGACCCGTCGGACAAACAAAAGCTAGCTAGGCAAAAAAAAAAAAAAAAAGGCTGTTTATGAAGACCAGAGATTGGTAAAAACCTGGGATAGCATAGCCCATTTCAGGTGTGGTGGGAGTGACAACAGATGAGGCTAGAGTATTAGGTTGGGGTTAGGTCCTGAAAGACTTGACAAGCCATGCTAAGCAACCGAAAACCACCAATGGTTTTACGAAGGAGTGACATGATGACTCTGGCTGTGCTATGAAGAAAGGATGGGTGAGACCAAGATGGGAGGTAGAGAGAATGTTAGGAGGTTGTTTAAAGACCCCAGGTCAGAAATGAGGGTGGCCTAGATCCAGGTAGTGGCAGAGGGATGGAGAGGGTGTTGGGGTTCAGGGGATCTAGTCCCTGTATTTGCAACAAAACGGAGTCCAGGTCTTAGAAGAGTGCTCTGTAAGGTTGGGGTGTAGGTTTGGATCATTTAAGCAAATGTAGATTCCAGATTATATAAGCACCACTTAAGAACAACTGGGGTGTCATTTTAAAAGTCAGTTATTTCGGGTAATGGTTACTCTTTTTCTGAATGGAGAGTGATAAAGATATCCTGCAATGGTCTCTCATACCTGTATAAAGAATCACTTTTCATTGACTTCACAAGTCTTTCATTCGATTATCATTGAGAAACAAAAATAATCGAAGAATCAAATCACTCAGGCTTTCTTACAAAAGAGAAAAAAAAACCTAATTGAGTAAGTATAAAAATAACTCAGTGTCATTAAAAACGTATGTACACCTATCTCTGTTGAAAATAGGTTTTATGGCTGTATTAAGCAATTAAAATGCACCCTGAAGAAAAATATGGGTGGAATTCCCATCTATTGATTTAATCCCATTTGCTTTGAGTCAAATATTTTTCCCTGTGACTCCATACTATTTATTTTATACCTTTTACATGCATAACTGACATTCACTTATCTGGAAATGTTAGCTTTCTGGAATATAACTCAGAATCTGAAAGAATGAACAACTGTGTTATGGTAGCTTGAGTTGCTGTCATCAAATTCCTATACTGAAGATCATGTATGTTTATCCTTCGGAGCCTCTCAGAATCCACTTAGTCTTATTTGAGACACAGTGGTTTTTTTTTGTTTGTTTGTTTTTTGTTTTTCCTCAGCCCAGCAAGTGTGGAGTGTGGGAGTAAAGGGGTGCTAAAGGCAGGCAGCAAGAAGAAAGTGAACAGCTTTTAAGTGGGGAATGAGGAAAAATGATCTGCAAGACACAAAAACACAGCTTGCCATTTTTTTCCCATGCTGTGTATAGAAGCAATGGTTCTGTCCACGTTAGCAATGCCAGGGGCAGCCCTATGTGGTAACATCATGTGTCAGAAGGGATTACCTACATCTGATGCATCAGTAAAAGGGTAAAATGAGTTCATTCCATTTTTTTTTTTAAATCAGAGAAATGTATATGCTATAGAAAGATTTCTTTCCAAAATAGCTTAAATTGATTAAGAAGTTCTGGAAATTGACATAAGAAGACTATTAAAAGCTCTTTGCAGACACTTAAGAATTGAGGTATGACTGTACTATATGACGTAGAGAGATGGGTAGTGTGGTCCAGAATATGTCACGTGAGAAATAATACAAAGAACGCAAAGCCTCTACTCGTTTGCTCATGGAGGCTATAGCAGAGCAGCTGTAATTGTTGATCTGTTAAAACTGAGGAGCTGCGGTTATTGGCAATTACAGAAGTAGAGTGGTAGTCAAGTGGCAATGTCATGGGTTGATGATTTTTGTTTATGTCATGGTCATTTTCCAGTTATCTATTGGCCTACCGGTATTCAGGGAAATGTCTATTAAAATTGGATTTTTTTTTCCCAATGTATTGACAAAAATTGAAAGTATAGATAATACCCATTGTTGGCAAGGACATGGAGAAACAGGGTTTCCTTCATTGTTGGTGTTAAAATTTTTAGACCACTTTTGGAGGGCGATTTGCAGTATCTGTCAAAATTTAATATGCGCATGTCCTTTGACTCATCCCTTACAGTTTTGCAATCTGTTCTACAGAGCTGCTTATATGGGTTCTCAAAGGTATATTTACCAGGATGTTTTAGAAGCATTTATTTAGAAGTTTTTGGCAATAGCAAAAAAGTGAAATCAACCTAGGTTTTCATCCATACAGAAGTGGTTAAATTAAAATGATAATCCAGACAGTGGAAACCTATACAGCCATTAAAAATAACGAGGTGGCGTTAGCAGTAATGACATAGCAAGATTTCTAGGACAAACGTGGGGAAAAAAAGTTGTAGAACAGTTCATATAGTAGGACCTATTTATGAACAAATAAATGAAAAATAAAGCCGTATCAGAGTATATGTGCATGTATGTAAATGCATAGAAACAGATGTGAGAGAATCCCTACCGAGGCGTTAACTGTTTGTTAAGGCGAATAGGACTATATTTTTTATTCTAAATAGAGTTGAACAAAGAAAATAAATGAGAAAGTATTACACATTTGTTACTACAAATACAACAAATTCATTTTATTCATTTTTGCATAGAAAATCAGGATTTGCTATATATACTCATGTCCTTTAAAAGGGCAGGAAGGCAGCTGGCAATGACAAAACTAGGAAATTTTAATTTGGCAGGAAGTCGTTGGTCTGCCAAGTAGGGAAACATCAGCGATTATCAGAGGTTGTTTTAGAGTTGAGGTTGACCGATCATCTGTTTTTGCCAAGCTCTGCCAGGGTCAGTTGCTTGCTCATGGCTACATTTCTCCCTTTCACATTTTCTAGGACCTTCTCATCAGTAGTAAATGACCTTTGTCCCTTATAATATTAAATGGCTTCTGCTGGAATGTCTTTGGTTCAACAGTTAGAGTTCAACTCACCCTGCATGAACTGCATGGACTGGGCCACTGTGATATTGCTACTTGGTCCTTGTACCCACTGGCACTCCATCACTGTGAGGCCTGCACAGTAGCAAATGTTTCTGTTATTTCAGTAGGGTGATACACTGGATTCACGTTCACTTGTATAATAAACCTGTTTTTAAGGACACGGGAAAGTTTGTAAGGATCCGTAAGGTATTGTTGACATATGCTTAGCTTAGTCAACGCCCATCATCGATGATGTGTAAATAATCTGATAAACAGCATACGTTCTTTTATCATTCTAAACCTTTTTTTCCTGATTATTTCTAGGAAATTACTTCACAAAAGATGCCATCTGTGCGCATAACAATTGCCAGTGTGATCCCAAGAACGTCGTTATGTTTCTAGCCCGAGTCCTGGTTGGAGATTTCATTGAAGGACGTAAGAATTATACGATGCCTCCTCTACCATATGACAGCTGTGTGGATTCAAGGTTGAATCCTTCCGTTTTTGTCATCTTTCAGAAAGATCAGATTTACCCAGAATACGTGATCGAATATTCTGAAACAGACAAAGCCTGCGTGATTAGTTAGAAATGCTGACTACCTTGTCATCGAGGGTGCCATCATCACTGGTCAGTTACAAAACCTGATTACCCCAGATAATAGTTCCACTATTTTACATTTCCTCGTCTAGCTAACAAATGCCTTAGATCAGTGGTTCCCAAACTTTGCTGTACATTTGATCAGCTGAAAACTTCATAAAATTCCAATGTCCGGAATACACCCCATTCCAATTCAATCATTGTTTCTGGGGGTGAGAGAGCACGAGCCAGGCAGCAGTATTTTTTAAATCCCCTGAGGATTCAAATGTGTCGTCAAGTTTGGGAACCACTGTCTTCACGTAACTGGTAAAGACTAATTTCTAAAACTTTGGTAATTGCAGCAACCTTTCTCTCCCAACTACTTTTTAGTTGACTGTATGGCCTAGTTTTGTTTTGGTTAAGTTAAAAAAAATAATTTGGGAAATTTGACAGAAACCTAGAAATGCCTGTTGAAACAAGGACATAAGACAGTCCAGCCTTGGATGGAAAATTGTGAAAAGTTGTGAGGGGCGGGGAATGCTTAGCAATATGTGGGGGGAGGGGGGATAGTAAAGGTAATTTAAATGCTGTTACAGACATCACTGCAGGACTGTACTTTTGTGGTGAAACTGATTCAGGGCACACGTTTCGTTATCTCTCCATTTATTTAGGGGACTCCATCTAGGTTGACTCTGGAATTCAATTTAAAGAGCTGCCCAGTGTGGCTCAGAGAGAAGCAACCAACTGGAATTAATGGCCCATTTGGGTTCTTTATATAATTATGGCAAAGTAGACATTTATAACTTAATCTGTATAATTCCAGAGCAGGCTTTTTTTCAGGTCAGACTTTCATGAAATGTCTGTATTTGGGGAGTACTGAGTTGCAGTAACCAGAGTCACACAAGCATGACTGATAAACCTGAGTGCTACTGTAGTTGATGGCCGTGGCAGATGAGGCTCACCTAGGAATTAGGAACAGGACCATCCTATTGAAGGCTGGGCGCTCTAAGGAGGCGAGCATAGAATCAGAACAAAGAGAATAATGCCTCAGACCAGCCTTGCACCTGTTAGGGGCTTCTTTTTCTAAATATAACGGATTGTATAGAACTGTAGTAACAGTGTTTAGAGCAGTTGAGGTGCATGGACCAAGAGTTCCTTCCTTATTGTGAATCAGGTTTTTCCTGTCAGTTTCCCTTTTTCAACATTCCATACAAATTGCCAAAATCTGTTATAGTGCCTTCCAGCAGACATGTTACAAAAATTAATTAGCATTAGAGATAATATTATATTATATTTTTGATCAGGGTGCCACAACTCCTTGGCTTAAAGGACTCCACCAGTAACACATGTATAGAGATTTTTTTTTTCTTAATAGCATAGGGTTATTTTCTGAGAGGCTTGCCACAAATAGTTACTCTCTTATTCTTGACCCTGACATTGCAGAGATGCAATTTATCCAACTCTATCCGACGCCCATTAGGCATCTCTGGTTGGATGTTTCACAGGCATCTCTACTTCAACATGTCCAAAATGGAATTCTCGAGCTGCCTCCCTTAAATGAACCAGTTCCTTCCCAGTATCCTGTATATAAATACTTGGTATCACCATCCACACATCTGCTCCAGCAGAAATTCAGAAGTCATCCTTCACTCCTTCATCTCCCTCCCCCTATGCATCTGAATTCTTCCCAAGTCCAGTTTTCCATCTTAAATATCTCTCTGTCCCCTTCTAAGCTGTCTTTTACTTAGCAGCAAGTATGGTGATATTTTTAAATTTTGTATTTAATAATAATCTTTCAAAACACACATCTCATTATGCCTTTAGAGTAAAGTTCAAAATCATTATCATGGCCTCGCACGATCTCTCCCTTCCTGACTCGTTATCTTTTTTTTTTTCACACAAGCCACTTTGGCTTTCTTTTTATGGTACCCCTTTTAACCTAGCTCAGTGGTTCTCCACTAGCACTCCTGCTTTTTTTTTTTTTTTTTGAAAGATAGATACTTTGTAACATCCACTTTATTATCCTCAAAATGCAATTCAGTGGTAATATACTCTACCTACACACAATTTTAGAAATAAGTTGAAAATTAAATAAAATTAATATTAATATGAAAAGGAACATAAAAGGTACATAACTTGAGCATGGCTATAATAAAAGACCAAATTAAGTAGTCAGCTGTTTACATTTATTTACAATGAATAAATTTGAACTTAAAAGAAGGTAGGCGATCAGAAGCTATTTTGTGTAGAGAAGTATTGGAAAAATGAAACAGCAGGGATATCAGTGGACATTAGAATGAAAACTAGTGCTACAATAACTTGTTTGCATGTGATAATACTTATTTCTATAAGGACGAAATAGCCTTAATTGAAATAAAGATACTATGCAAGAAAATCTGCAGATTGTCGAAATGGAGAAAATGAGGAAATATATTTTTGCAGATGAGCTGTAGATCATACACGAATGTCTTGTGAGACATTCAAAATTCGTATAGGGTGCAGAATAATTCCTTACTTTGAGGAACTGTCCGATGTATTGCCAGATGTTCAGCATACCTGGCACTCACACACTAAATGCCAGTAGCACCCTCCCCCAACTCCCAGTTATAGTGACAACCACAAACCCAATCAGAGCTAGTCACCTTTTTCAGAGCAGATTTTGTGTAACATCCCTTTGCTATCCTGAGATGATTCACAGATAATACAATCTACTTACATATCTTCCTTTAAAAATCAATTTACTGCCATTACTATTATAATGGAGACACAGAAGGAAAGAAATTTGTAATACAAATAAACTGAATTTCAATATATAAGTGCTCAGGCATGACTATGCTATACGACATCATGAAATAGATATTTACTCCTACTCACAGAGAACAGGTTTGGATTTAGGAGTCGACAAAGGCTGCTTCCTGTAAAGAAGTACAGGAAAATGAAAGATAAGAGGTATGGATGACACTAGAATGAAGACCAGGAGTAGGGTAAGTCATAACAGACCATATACCTTATTTGTATATGGTAAGGGAAAGAGCGAAATTACGTTAGTTTAAGTAAGGATAATAGGACAAGACAAATTATATTGGGTTGTCAGAAAAGTCAGGACGCGTTTTTGCAACGAAAAACAGAAAAAAATATGTCATGACTTTCCCGACAACCCAATAGATGAAGAGGGAAACATGTATTATATTTCTTAGTCGAGTTGTAGGTCCTACATAAATGTCCCACAGGACATTAAAAAGTCGTATAGGTACAGAATACGTCTTCGTTGTATGGGGCTAATCCATACACTGCAGGACATCTGCTATCTTTGGCTGCATCCACTCAGTGCCAGTCCTCAATTATTATGAAAGCAACAACTCATCAATTCCCAAAATACTTGAGAACCACTGACTCAGTTAACATCTAGCATCTTGAGATTAATTTGTTACCTCCATAAGGAGTCCTATAAATTAGGCTGGATGCTTGCCTCCCAAATCGCCATTTAAAAAAAAAACAACTTTGCCTTGCTTTATTCATTTTTTAGCATCTATCCAACTTGAAGTTGGTCTGCTTTCCGCATTAGAATGTGAGCTCCTTGAGGGCCAAGTTTAACTTGTCTTGTTCATTGTGCCACAATGCTGAATGCCTGATACGCTGATAACTTTGCATACATTTTGTTGAACAAAGTAAGCCCAACTATTATATTTTAGTACTTGAGTTCTATTTCTGTTCTTCAAGCTCAATTTGAGACTCTCTAATAAAAAGAAATAAATACGAATTTTGCTCTGCTGCCTTTCTTTGCTTTATTTCTAGGTATCTCCAAAACGATACCTTCAGGCACCAGTTTATTCAGTGGGGGACAGAGGATGTGTTTTGTCCTTTCCAGCTTTATCATTCCAGGACTGAATGACGAAGGAGCCTTTAGCTCACTGCCAAGGAAAGGCAGGGCATGGTGATGGAGAAGCCCACAGCAGGCTGGCACATCTTTTGTCTAGGGGCTTAGAGAGGGAGAGGCTGAAAGCTGTTAGCATTTTTCTTTCTCTGGTCCCAGGGGTTGTACCAGGGCTAGGCTGAGGCCCAAAAGTTAAAAAAGTAAATGGTTATCAGAACTGTCCTGTCAGTCACTCCTTTAAAGGCCCTTCTCTGCTCATTCTTTTTTAATCACAAAGCTTTGGATGGAGAGAGAGAAGAGGAAAAATCTCTATATGGGGGCCAGCCGAGTGGACCAGTTGGTTAAGAGTGCGCGCTCTGAACAACTGGGTCACCGGTTTGATTCCCACATGGGCCAGTGAGCTGCGCCCGAGCTGAGCTGCCAACAGGTGGCAGGATGGGTCAGCTGATGAGAGCACACGCTCCTAACAACAAGGTTGTCGGCTGGACTCCCACATGGGATGGTGGGCTACGTCCACCAGCAACTAAGATTGAACACAGCACCTTGAGCAGAGCTGCTGACGGGTGGCCGGATGGTGACTGGACTTGGAGCTGAGCTAGCTGTGCCCTCCACAACTAAGATTGAAGGACAACTTGGCTGTTTCTCTTCCTCAATTCCCCAACACTGTTCCCCTTCCCCAATTCCCCAATAAATATATCTTAAAAAAAAAAAAAAGAAAAGAAAGAAAAAAATCTCTATATGGTAGCATAGATTCGATTCAAGTGAAGACAGAATTGCCATTTGATTTGGACCTGGATGTAGATAATTGGAACAATGCATAGCCGACCCATTGCTGTCAAAGCACCCACATGAAAATACATGAAAAATGCCACTAAACCAAGCATGAGCAGATGTTTGTTTTTCCACCTAGTTATTCTATTTGTTGATTCATTTTGTCATAGCAAGCTCTCAAGTTTTCAGAAGTGTTTAATGTTGCTATTCCCCATGGTTCTATCCTCCCACCTCTGCTTTTCACACTCTTCATTTTTGCTGAGTGATCTTATCAACTCACAGCTTCAATTACCTAATACTTTGATGTCACTCAAATCTATATTCCCTTCCATCTTTCTTAAGCTCTTGTATATATAATACAACTGCCTACTGAGCATCTTACTTTGGGTTGTCCATTGCAAACTCAACACAATAAAAACTGACATTTAATCCCCCAAATCCTGTTTCTCTTCTGTTACTCCTTGTCTTGCTTTTCTAGAAATCCATTCTTACTTCTTCCAGGGATTTTTCTAAAACACCTATCCTACAGTATGGCCAGGCCTGGTTTTAAGTTTGGGGATATGGCAATGAATCAGATGAATGAGATTTCTGCTGTCATGCCCTTGAATTCTACAAATGTTAAATAAACAAGAAAAAATATCAGTAATTAAGTTCCATGCAGATACTAGGGAGGTACTATAGATTGGGAGGTCAGGAAAGGCCTTGCTGAAGAAGAGGACATTTAAGATCAGAGTTGAAAGGCAAAATGGAGACCTCTAGATCAGGGGAAAGCATTCTAGGCAGAGGGTTCACGTCACTCCCCAAGTGAAATTTCTTAAGTGGCTTCCCTAAGTCTTTAATGCGTTAAGTCCAAACTTAGCATGGTAGGGAAGATCTTCTAGCAGTTGCCTTCCTCTAGCTTTACATGACTGACTCACTTCATCCTCACAACCTCCCTGTAAGATCAACTAGGCTGGTTGAGATCCTCGATTATGCCTTATTCATCTTTGTACTCTGTCACTGCCATTAGCAGTTGGCTCAGTCAATGTTCATTAAATGAGCCTGGTGTTGGGCAATATGGCCAGCTGTTTATTTAGGTACAGGTCTAGATCCCACAGAAATATAAGGTGAGCCACAATTGTGATTTATAACTTCCTCATAGCAACTTCGGAGAAGTAAAAGAAGCAGTAAAAGATCATTTTAACATCATTAACAAAATTATTAATGGGGTTATTTGTCATTCTTTTCATTCTAAATCTTCTAACTCCAGTGTGTGTATTTCACACATCTCATCTCCATTTAGACTGGTCACATTTCAATTGTGTAACAGCCACACGAGACTACTGGCTACCTTCCCCTACCAACTACCTAAGGCCACCCAGCCCTGCACCTACTACTATATGACCAAAAAAAAAAAAATCTTATATGTTCCAAATTAAAATTACAGCAGCAGAGTGTGAAAGGGAACATGAGTCTGTTGATAGTTGTTGACCAGGTCTGACAAAAGACTGCTCACATTCCTGTATGTCTATTGGAATTTAGGGTAAATTTCCAGGTGGCCATTTCCCCGATTATCCCAAAGAAAGAATAGCCAGGCTCCACAGAACCCCAGGAACCTCAGCTTCTTATTTGCACATGAACTTTCCAATCTGCAGCCCACAGCTAATCCACAGGAGCGGACACTTTGGTCCTTGCAACTAGCCCCACTTCACCTCCTATCCTTTTGGTCTATAGCTAACGTAGATCCTTTCAGACCGGCTTATGTCTTTCTCCCCACTACTTGATGTATAAAAACTCCAGAGCCACAGACATGCTGTCTTTCCTACCTAGCCATGCTGCTGGTGATTTAGACTCCATCCCCCAACATCAGTCTTTTCGCTAGCAATGGCCTAATAAACCCTTTCTTTTAAAAAGACTTTCAATAGCAAGTCACCTCTACTGAGGGAGATGTGCTCAAGACAGAGGCGTGCGTTGAGCCGTAATGGAAGCGACAAGCGTCATTCCCACGGACAGGCCTGGCTCTCCCGCACGTGACCATGTCCCTGACAACCCTCTGGGATGGGCAGTCAGACTTGGACTGCAATATGGGGACACAGGTAGGGATATACTTGTAGATTTAGTAAAGAGGATGGATAATCAATCATTCTTTCAAGAAACTATACCAAACTGTGGAGGGTTTGTTCTGTTTCAGTATTGTTGCTTACAGCAGTCTTGTATTATCTATTATGGAAATTATGTCATTGCCTTCCCAAATGTGTTTTTTCCCCAGGTTTGGTATTTTTAACATTTTCCCAATTTTCTTATTCTGGTAAAATACATATAACATAAAAAATAAATAAATAAAAAGACTTTCAGCCGCGGAAGTTAACATTTTTTGTTTAACTTAACATTACCTATTGTATTTCATCTTCTTTGCAGCCCTCACCAGTCCCTCCAATTCTCTCCCTTGCTTGCGTGTCGGGACTCCCCCATGACACAAGCCCCTCTGGCAAAGGCTCACCGGACCAGTGCCTGGCACAGGGCAGGCGCCCCGTGAACACTGCCCCTACCCGATCCGCGTCCAGGGCGAACCGCGGACCCCTGGGCCCTCCTCGGACAGCCGGTGCCCATGGCCGCCGCCCCCCGCCCGCCCGCCGGCCCGCCCTTCCCCAGGCCATCCCGGGATCTCGGTTTGAAATCGTGGACGTGACTGGGAGGAGTCTGGCCGCCTCGGATTTCGTGCTCGCGGCGCAGGGAGCCGGGCCGCGACCATGGCAGAGCCCACGGTGTGTTCCTTCCTCACCAAGGTGCTGTGCGCCCACGGCGGCCGCATGTTCCTGCAGGACCTGCGCGCCCACGTGGAGCTCTCGGAGGCCAAGCTCCTGGACGTGCTGCGCCAGGCCGGGCCCGACCGCTTCCTGCTGCAGGAGGTGGAGATGAAGGAGGGCCTCTGGGACGCGGAGGCCGAGGCTGCGGCGGGCGCGGGCGCGGGCGCGGGCGGGGCGGGCGGCGGCGGCCCCTTGGCCTGGAGAGTGGTGGCCGTGTCCTCCGCGCGCCTCTGCGCCCGCTACCAGCGCGGCGAGTGCCAGGCCTGCGACCAGCTGCACCTCTGTCGCCGCCACATGCTGGGCAAGTGTCCGAACCGCGACTGCTGGTGAGGCGGCGGGGGGACCCGGCGGCGGGCGAGCGGGCGGGACCGGGCGGCCTCCTGGGACCCAGGCGGCGGCGCGATCGCGGCGCGCGGGCCGCGGGCCCGACCCGTTCAGCTGGAAGTGGGACCCACGAGACATGAGAAGAGGGGTGGTGCGCCCGGGGGCCGGCGACCCCCCCTCGGAAAGGGCGGAAGGGAAGCCTCGGGGAAGGGGCCCTGGCGGGGTCCTCCGGGGAGGCCTCCCTTGCGCTCTCAGCTGCGGTGCGGAATGAGGCGGAAGGTTGGCTCTGTTTGCATTAGTTTAGTTAGCGGCCTCTCCAAAAAAATAAAATAAAATTGCAGCCCCTGTCCCGGGATCCTCCACATTTGCCGGGATAAATCAGGATTGGGACTTGGGGAGTCCTTTTGGGGGCATTTGCGGAGCCCATCAGATCCACGGACCCTTTATGCAGAGATAGCCTCTTCCCAGATAAACACCGTTTTTACAGAAGCCAGTCTGTGTTCTGTGGGTTTAGAAAGCCGATCCGGTCTGACCCCAAGGAAACAGCGGTGGATGATTTGGGAGTGGTCGTCTAAGGCTGCCTCCTGAGTCCAGCCTTCCTGGGCTTACAGAAGCTTCCAAAAGTGGAGTTGGGGGCACTCTTCTTTTCATGTTGGTGGACTGTGGGGGTGGGCAGCTGTGGAGAAGGCACATGCAGTCACCTATAGAACAGGTGGCCACCATGTATCAAGGCAGGTGACTGGGGGAGGGGGTACCCTTGGCTTTAAAGCATCCTCATTTAAAATGAAAATGACCCTGGGGTGGGGAGGGGTTGCTTCAACCCACCTTTCTTATTATTAGAGCTTTGTAGGCTGTAGTGTCTAGGAGTTTAGGGCAAATTGTTTAAGGTCATATGCAAGTTGAAAGCGGCCCTAGGCAAGGAATGTGACCCACTGGCCCCTTCTTCACCTGGGCCTCTGATCCAGTGCTTTGTGTTCTAGGTCTACCTGTACTCTTTCCCATGATATCCACACACCTGTCAACATCCAAGTTCTGAAAAACCACGGGCTTTTTGGCCTCAATGAGGCCCAGCTTCGGATTCTGCTTTTACAGAATGACCCCTGCCTTTTACCAGAGGTGAGTCATCACGAAGTCACCCTCCTATGGTCTGTCCGGTGAAAGAAATCAGGGGAGAGTATCAGAAGTCAGCTTACACAGGACAACCTGAGGTGTATTGGGGTGAGGTGGGCACAGGTTGACCTTTCGGGAGTTTCTGTGATTTTGCTGGGCTTAGATACACAGGGAGTGATGGATTTGTGTGGTATGGAAATGATAATAATGGCTACTGGATTTTTGAGTGCTTACTGCATACTTAGCAGTTTATATACTTTAGCTCATTAATAACCTGCTCCCCATTTTACAGGTGAGGAGAGTGGGTCTCAGATTAAGTAACGTGCCCAAGATCGCATAGTAAATGGCATATTTGAATTTAGGTCTGCCTATGAAACCTGTGTTTTGTGAATTGCCTGTTTATACTTTCGCCTATTTTTCTATTGAGGCATTTGTCTTTTCCTGTTAATTATTAGATGTCCTCAATGATACAGATTTCTTTTTGGGTCACATTTGCTATAAGTATCCCCCCCTCCTTTACTTTTTTGGGAACTTTAGATATTAAATTTAATTGCTTCAAAGCAACATGATTTAGTTCCAAATGCTTGAAAGATACCTATTATCACTGTTATAATGGTGAGATTAGTATGTTTGTATCTGTTTAGCTAGACATAAAGAATTTTAAAAAATAAAACAATTGGAATCCCAAAAGAAAATTTTACGAGAGACTATCAATGAAAAGCAGAGTTTTCTAATCTGGGACAATGATTCTATCACGGACACTCGCCAAGTTGCCAGAAGAGGGGCGAGAAGAAAGGGGAGCATTGGGAACACAGAGGGTAGTTCATGGCTGTGGTCCTATTTTAACTCGAAGGTATTGCAGGCTCTAGAAAGGAAGAAAGTCACACGGCCAGAGCCTTTGGTTCAGATGGCAGAGGCTGCCTTTTTACTCACAAGGCAGCAGCGGAGTCAGCCTTAGGAGCCAAGATATTCCTTCTTGGCCTCTGTCTACTTTCTCATTTCTTCAAGTTTGTTTGTTTTTTGAAATAAGATTTCACTGGGGAATTGGGGAACAGGAAAAGTGTTGGGGAATTGGGGAAGGGGAACAGCCAAGTTGTTGTCCTTCAGTTTTAGTTGTGGAGGGTGCAGCTAGCTCAGCTCCAAGTCCAGTCATCATCCGACTGCCCGTTGGCAGCTGGCGGCCGCTCAGCTCAAGGTGCCGTGTTCAGTCTTATTTGTGGGTGGGCATAGCCCACCATCCCATGTGGGAGTCTATCCAGCAACCTTGTTGTTAGGAGCACGTGCTCTCACCAGCTGAGCCATCCTGCCACCTGTTGGCAGCTCAGCGGCAGCTCAGCTTGGGCACAGCTCACTGGCCCATGTGGGAATCGAACTGGTGACCCCTGTTGCTCAGAGCTCGCGCTCTTAACCAACTGAGCCACTCGGCCAGCCCATCATTTCTTCAAGTTTTGAACCGAGGTTTGGCACATCATGAACCAGGTACAGTCTAACCATGTTGCCAGAAAGTACACAGTGTCTGGTCATCTTCTTTGTTGGTGAGGTTAGGATCGATAGCCTGACCCATTATTAATTATAAAGTTCCCCTTCAGGAGGGTCTTAGTCTTCCTGGGACAGACCCGGTTGACATTAGTTGTCCCAAAGTAATTATGAACAACGCTCCCTAAAAAAACGCTCTTGTCTGGGTGATAAATCATCCATTCACGCTACCTGTCTAGGTTGGATTCCCCGGAGGCAGAGCCTGACGTAGGGACTTAGGTGCATGTAATTTCTTGAAGAAGGGCCCCTGGTGAAAACCCCGTAAGGTATAATGGAGGAATGCAGGTCACAGGGAAGGAAAAGCTACAAACAAGGCGAAGTCTGGCCTTGACTTGGTATGGTGGGGCTCTGGAGCAGAAATACTCCGAAGAATTATTCCAGCCTTGAGGCAAAGGGCCCAGCCTTTTGTACCTGCATAGAATTCCTCATTGGCTACAGGCTTTGCGAGAGGAAGGCAGGTCAACTGAGGGTCAAAGTCAGAGAGAGGCAGCTGTGCTTCAGTAACAGCTGGGGGAGAGCTGGGTGGGTTTACTGTAACATGCCCCATCTGCCTTTCACCCAGTGATTTTAACAGCCACCGAGGACCAGAAGCTGCCATTTAGAGAAGCTGTGGTTTGTTGGCATAAAAGATACAGTGAAAACCAGTGTTTTAGTGTTGCCTCATTTCTCTCCCAGGTCTGTTTACTCTACAACAAAGGGGAAGCACTGTATGGTTATTGCAACCTCAAGGATAAGTGCAACAAGTTTCATGTGTGCAAGTCCTTTGTCAGGGGAGAGTGCAGGCTTCACAGATGCAAACGGTCCCATCAGCTCATCCATGCGACTGCTCTGAAGCTGCTGCAGGACCAAGGACCGAATATCCCCAGTGTCGTTAATTTTCAGATCATCTCCACCTACAGGCACATGAAGTTGCACAAGATGCTTGAAAATAAAGGTGAGACTATCAGAGGACTCTCTGAGCACTATCAATGATGTGGTTTTGACTTGAAATTGAGTCTGGGGAGAAAGTACTTCATGTGTTAAGTGCTTTGTCCTTGGGGAAGCTTTGCATCGTCAATAGTTTATGGTACAGAACTATGATTTTCACGAAAGGAGGGAGGGATGGAGTTTATTTCCAGCGCTGCCCCAGTGTTTGAACAGTGTAGTTGATAAGTTGGGGGTCAGGAAGTAGGTAGACCAGCCTTAACAGCTTCATTGGGAAAAGAAGAGGAGGGCAGGAGGCTGGTGACTAGAAAGGAAGGATAATCTAGGGATGGCTTTCTTTTATTAAATTGAATTAAAGTTTTATCTTTTTTAACTGTTAGGAAATTTTAACCACATTACAGAAAATTTTGGATCATAGAGTAGAAATAAAAATTGCATGCAACTCCACTCACTCTAATTCACAGTCATTGTTACCATTTAATTGCAGGCCCTTCAGTTTTGTTATAATACTATAGGAATACTAGTCCAGTTGTATTAATTAAGTATCTTAAATTTTCACTTTCTACAGCATCATAAATATCTTCCCATATCACTGCATAGTCTCATTTTTTTAAAGTCTACAAAGGGTGGTTTGGTGTTCTTCTAATTATAAAGCATTTAGGTTACTTTTTTTTTTAGATTTGCCTGTAGCTGGAAATCGGCTTCAGTGGGTAGTCAGCTCAGGAGAATTGATGGGAAAACGAAATCACCAAAGTCAGAGTCTCTAAGCTTTTACTGTGGAGCTTTCTTTTGTTGGGATGGTAGTGGCCGACTTCATGGGCGAGTGGCGTGAAGGTAAGGAGGGCTCTGCAAATACCAGTGTCAGAGGCTAACTAGGGAACCTTGAATGTGGCAAGAACCTTTTGCTCTGTATATGTATAGGGCCTGTCATTATCTTCATCTGGTTTTGTTTAGTGGGTCTCTCCTAACTATGAAATAGTTTCTTTCTGCTTGCTGAGTGTGTGTGTGTGTGTGTGTGTGTGTGTGTGTTTGATATATTTTAAATCCACAAGACACAAACTCTCCAAAACCAAAGTGTTGGGAGTGTTGTCTTGAGATTTGATGACCTGGACTGATGCCCCCAACATAAAATGAAAAGCAGAGGGATAAAAAGGAGTGTCTTAGAGACACCTCCTCTCTTTCTTCTTTTTTAGATAATTCAGTTCCTCCTGCTGAGCGGTCACAGGGCCTCGAGTCACCAGGCGGATGCGCTGCTGGGGCTGCAGAGGCCTGTCCCCTGGTTTCTGTCCCTGCCCAGTCCGCCAAGAAGCCATGCGCAGGTAAACCGTGAGGGTAAAACACCGTGAAGCAAGGAGCTGCTCGTCCAATCGGAAGGTCTGAAAACACGGCTATATTGAGCTTTCATTTGTAACCATTCATTCATGTAATCGTTTCTTAATATGACCACAATAATACCTACCTCACAGGGTGTGGTGAGAATTGAAGAAGATGGAAAGGGAGACAGTGTCAATTTGGGAGGATAAAATTGGGGGGTGGGGGCGGGATGGGTGGTTGGGGAGGAGGTCTGACATTGAACAGGCAAAGAAAGGGTGAGACCTGAGTGCACATGGGGTCAAGGCCAGGCAAATCCTGGAGGTGGCAGCCTCTGCTGCAGTCCCTGAGCGCCGTCCCCAGCCTGGCTGGCTGGAGCTCTTAAAGAGGCAGGTTTCTGCTGACCTGCTCTGCGACTCAGGCCCGTGTTTTTCTGTACCCCCATATATACAGTTTACATTGTAGCACTCATAGAGTATGGAAACTTTATATTCTCCCCCCCCCCACTTAATGTTCCAGAAGCATCTTTCCATATTTGTTCACATTTATCATGCATAATCATTTTTTATGCACTAGTATATCATAGCTTATGTAACTGTTCCCTTATTCTGGGATATTTTGATTCTTTCTAACAAATTTTGAATATAACTCATCTTAAAATCCACGCAATATTGAATTTTTAAAGCTAGTCTTTTGCTTAGCTTGTAGTTGCCAAATGGTACTGTCTTACGATTTGCATTTCTTTACATGTATGTACAAGTGAATATTTTTCTGTATCTGCTTTCTGTACGTCTTTATTTTGTGCATTTTGTACATGCCCTTTAATTACTGGGGCATCTAATTACCTCCTCTGTGCTGATGTGGGATGGCCTTTAATTAGCCTCCTTAAATTTTATGAAACGACGTCAACCATACTGTAGTCTAACTCTTGTGGATCTATCCTCAGCCAACACCAGAGTGTATGCTGTTTCGGTGCTTACCAGAGATTTCTACCTCACTCCGTCTACTCTCCGTCTCTTATTAAACTTCTACCACAGTCCAGTTGCTGTGGGTTGAAGGATGTGTAGTTCATCCATTCCTTGAAGTTGTATCCATTCTTTTATGGATCAGGGTAGACCATCAGAAATCTATATACCTCGCCCATTTCATGTTGACTTTCCCTTTCCTCTCCCCTCGCTTTCCCCCATCAACTTGCTGTCTTTATCCAGTTACACTTAGATGTGTGGTTTTTCATCTTTATCAAAGGGTACACAGAGAAGCAGCTTCCTGAAACCCTTTCCCTATTTGCTGTAGTAAAATTCCCCCAATGTCATTGTGCAGAGGGCTTTTCAAAATATTTAATTGTCCTGCAATCATACCACATTTGAGAAATAGGGACAAGGTTGTGAGTTTTTCATAAAGCTAAATTTATTTAATTTAGAAAAATTTTTATCCTGAAATGCTGTCTTTTCTGTCGGGGATGGTGTGTAAAAAATGTCCTTTGTAAAGGGAGAAATGGCTGTTTTTTTCTCCTAATGCACACAGTAAGAGTCATGCAACTTCCGTGAACCTTTCACTTTGGTTGTCAACAATAGTTTTTCTGAAAGCCCTTCCCTCCTGCATATCTTATTTCTTTTTTCCTAGTTCTGATTTCTCCTGGTGCTAGTTTTTTAAAAAAAATATTTTTACATTGTATCATCATTATTTACATTGTATCCTTTTACTATTAATATGTATATTTTTATTGTAAGCCATCTTGAATCCTTAATGGAAACAGTGTAGTGTATAAATGCATATCCGTTACATTAAGACTTGCTAGACTTTTATATTATTGCTCTTTTTATATATCTTATAATAATGCTTTTCTATATGAAGTTATTGACCCTCTGTAATCTTTGTTGCAATATTTTATTCAATTCTATTAATATTCCAGTTCAGTCTTAGTTCTGTTGGTACTCAGTGTGTCAAAATATAGAGTCATACCTGTGTCTGTTATTTTCGTCTGACGATCAACTTTTAGAGAGTTGCCACGATAGACTTGTTGATAAGTTTTCTTTGGCAATTTATTGGCGCTTATGAGATGAAGCTGCACGCCTCTAGGCTCTACAAACTCAACATATCCTAAATTGAATGATGAACTTTTCTCCAGACTTTTTCCTCCGTTTCTTTATTTTGGAGTGTCACCACCTAACGATGTAAGCCAAAAACCTGCAAACTATTCTAACCTCGTCTCTCTCCTTGTTCCCTGTGTCAAATTGGTTACCTAGATTCGAGACTTTTCCCCCCCTCAAAAATCTCTCAAATATTTATCCGTCTGTGTGCCTTTCTTTGCATTCCCTACACACTGCCCTGTTTTAAGCCCTCATTGCCTCTTGTTTTTATTCTACAGATGCAGAACTCAGTGGTTTTCATGTCTTGCGAGGTGTTTTTTTTTTTTTTGTGGGAGGTGACTCCCCTTTGATGATGGTAGCCCCATTTTAATTTTTAATATAATAGGCTTTTGTGGATTTCATTGCTGTCCTTACCACCCTTCTCTCCCTCGGCCTTCCACTCTACTGCCTGGTTGATCTTTGGAAATCTGGACCTAATCATATTGCTTTTTGCTGCCTTCACCTTCATTGGTCCCCATCATGTAGGGTTCAAGGAGTCATGAACTCAGATGGCTACAGGGACCAGAAAGCTGAGTTAGTGGATGAAGTGAGCTAGACATAAGAGGCGTAGGGGAAAAAATGAAGTGCTGTGGTAAATTGCCCCCTCTAAAAGGGGCCTCTGCCTCTTGTTTCCATGTGGGAATGTGGGCCCAGTTCGTCATATTGTCCAGTTTGACAGAAGAAGCCAGAAATCCAAATTTTTCTGAGAAATTTTCTGATTTTTAAATACTGACTTTGAATTCTGTGCACTGACCTACTTGCAAATTTTGGAGTGTGCCATTTTATCTTGTGACTCTGCGTTCGCAAATGATGCTCCAAGCCCCACTCTCTTCCCTTAGCCTGCCTCAAAACCTGGCAAGATTAGATTTTTTAAAATGCCGACTTAACCTTTCCTGACCCCAAGAGAGTTTTCAAAGCTCTAGTATAGCACTTACTACATTACATTGCAATGCCTTTAGTTTTTATTCCCTAGCTTTAAGCAAAAACATTATTTATTCTGCTTGGTTATTCTAACACCTGGTAGTTAAATTTTTTTTTTTTTGCCATATAATGAATTAAACTCTGCATTTGAATCCGTTGAATGAGTATCACATTGGTCTTCATTGTTCTTTTTTCTTCCCACATATATATTTTTAATATTCAAAAAAATCTTATTTTCCCCTAAGGAATGTGTTATATAAGATAAAGATATTTTTGATGGTTCAGTTTGAATGGCCTAGGTCTAAAATAAACACTTTAAGACTTATGTTCGTGGTACTAATGCTTTCCATCAAGGAATTAACTCTCTCCATTATTGATGTGTTTCTTGATTTCTTTATAATCATTATAATTTGTTCTTGTTTTTATCTAGGTCTTATCTAGCCCTTAACACATTAATTCTTTCTGGGATAAATACATCTGTATTGCTACTCAGTATGGGAATTTCTATCATTAGAATGCTATTAATTTTTAAAATATTTGTCTTTTAGTGAATTGCCTTTGTTCTAACAGTGTTAGAAGGCCTATTTGTTTTTTCAAAATATAAAATCATAGCTGCAAAAATATTCATCTTTCTTTATGTATTTCTATTTTGTTTTGTGTTAAATAAAATTCTGATAAACAGACTTTTTGATAACCCTTCATTAAATAGGAAGTTACTTGTTGGTTTTAAACAAGTATTCTCTATTTGATAAGGGAGATAACATCTATTGTTTGTTAGAAGCTTCTAATAGGAATTGGTATCTTTTGATATAATCATAGAATTTTTATCATTTAAACCACCTAATATGATTATATTAATGGTTTTCACTATATTAAAATATCCTTAAATTCTGAGTAAACTCTACTTGATTACAGCATTATGTTCTTTTAATGTATTTTCCCCCTAATTGGTAACCTTTCTTGTAAGTGTATACGTCTATACATTTATAAATAAAGTTCATTTATATTTTAGGTGTGTATGTAGCAATTTTTGTTTTTATTGCTGTATACTCAAAGGATAAATTTTTTTCTGAGCGTTGTTTTGAGTTTTTGTAAATTGATTTGCAAAGTCATTATTTTAATTTTTTTCCAGCTTTTTTGAGATATAATTGACATATTACCTTATGGAAGTTTAAAGTGATGATTTGGTACATGTATACATTGTGAAATGATTACCACAATGTTAGTCAGCTTATCCATCACCTCACATTCATTATTATGTTAAAAAGAATGTATTACTGTATCCTTGAATCACTCTCTTTAGTATTATTTAAGAGTATTTTTTTCCAAAAGATTTTTTTTTTGGAAAATATAATAATATATCATTGTAGGAATTTTGGAGAATATAAGAATGCATTAAGAAGGAAGTAGTGGGGGGAGGGGGTTGTTACTTTGTGAGGGTGAAAAGGATAACTATTGCATTGTTCTGTACCCCTGAAACTAACAATAAAAAAATTTAAAAAAAAAAAGAAGGAAGCAATGATCACCCATAATACTACTGTGTAGAGACAATTACTCTTAAATACTTTAGGATATTTTTTCAATCTTTTTTTATGCACCTGTTATTAAATATTGAGGGTATACTATAAATACAATTTTGTATTATGCCGTTTTGGATTAATATTATTTTGTGAGCATTTTCCTACATAATTGAAAGCATTTGTAATTATATTTGATGGCTGTATTATATTTTTTATGTATCTTTAATCATAGATCTATTGTTGGGTATTTATTGTTTGCTACATTTTAGTACATACATCTTTGTCTGCATTTCTGATTATTTTATTAGAATAGATTTCTAGATATGAATATACTGTTCCAGAGATATGAATATTTGAAACACTGAAAAAGTATTTCAAAATTGTCTTCCAGCATGGCTGTACCATTTACATTCATCATTAGCATGGAAATTGCCTCTTACTATACTTTCAACAGTGTGTTAGAGGCACATGCTGATGAAAGAGACAGAATACCTTTGGTTTCCTAAGGAGTTCTTCTGGGCAGATATTTAGAAAAATACATTGGTATTAATTGCTACTTAATTACATGGTAAGGCTATAATGTGTAATTAATAATATGATTAAGTCTTATGCAATTTCTGGTGTTTTACCTTGACTGAGATTCCCTTTTTGCTTTACATTTGCACAGTAAGCTTTTTGTATGTGAACTGATGATCGTGCATTCATCTTACAAGGGGGACATTTTATTCTCATGGTGCCTCATAGGTGCTCACTGTCAGATATTTATCTCCCAGATAAATTTTTCTTCTTTTCAGGAAGAGATACTGTGAGACGGCCTCCCTCGAATACACATGGCAAGCTCTTAGTTCAGTGAAGTATCTGCTAACCTGAGTTGACTATCTCTGTGTTCAGGTGTTGAAGGGCTGCTCTAGCTAAGGAAAACTTGGAAATGCCTCAGATAAACCTCCCTTTGGCTTCTGCTCTTCTCCAGGTCCATAAAACCAAGCAAGAAGAGCCCATAAAGCGTTTTCCTTATTTCATCTCTCAGCTCCCTATGTTTATGTTTCTCCCTCTGGTCTCTCCCAGTGTTGTGGTTCCTGACATCTGACTCTTGCTTTCTGGAACAATATCTAGCATGGCTTCTTTTAGTCCCTATATCTCGAGCTATAAGCCTATTTCTCACATGTTTGCCAAGTGGCTGTATTCCTGGGCTCCCCATCACTCACCTAGCTGCCTGAGATAGTTCCTGTCCTGGGGGAACAAGGCACAGTAACCCTTCCTCCTTTATCCCTCCCCTCTGGAGTATTTATGATTCTCACACCAAGTATACTACTAAAGACTCTATGTACACAACTTTGCTCACCTGTCAACCCCTTCCTCATTTTTTGGCTCTGTGTTGTCTATGCCCAAGTTTAAGGTGAGAAGGAAGCAGCCAGCCAGAGTAAATTCAACAGTCTCACAACCAACTCCATGTTATGCTCTCCTGCGGCGGCACTACACTGATTCTGGGTCCTAAGCTTCCTTCCTGACTGCCGATGACTTGTATTGGGACTAGAGGGTACTGGTTGCCTCCTGTTAGTGGTGTTTCCCGTCAGCCTTGACTCTGCCCATGCGTCGTACAGCCCTGCATACAAGGCAAGTAGTAGTTGTTTTAAAATGGGCGATTTTGTTTTTTACTCAGGTATGCCAAGGCCCACAGATCAGGAAAATAGTATATTACAGTTCCCAAGAGAAGAGGGCAAGACGCACCATGCGGAACTCAAAGAGAACACCAAGGTCAGTCACAGGCAGAGGGAGGTGAGGGAAAAGGAGAGAGTGGGAGAAAGAGACAGATTGAGGGATAGGGAGAGAGAGAGGGGAAAACAGGAATGGTGAGTAGGCTAAGCAGGGTTAGGACTGGTTGATTTGGATAATGTCTTTGGGCTCTAGGGTGTAGTGACTGCCTCTAGTTATCTGATATCTAGCCCTGGGTTGATGGGGCAGAGGAATGGTGTTAGAGCAAATAATACAGCAGGTGGGGGAAATGTGGCCTCTGGATTGGTTAGCTTGCAGACAAAGGCAAAGGAGGGGGGAAGGAGAAAGGGGAGAAAGCTGTTTTCTATCTCTAGGAGTCCTAGGAATCCTCTAACTCTGGGAGGGGCAGTCCCTCTCTCATCTGCAAGGCTCCAGATGTCAAAATCCCAGATATAGAAATTAAAAAACGTGTTTAAAACAGTATTTTAAACACATTCAGCCCTTCATGGGCAGGACTCAGCATTCATCATCCACCCAAATCCAATAGTAGGTGATATACTGGTGGTCACTTGGCTCTGGATTTATTACTGGCCATCCATAATAATAATATATAACATTTATTGTGCCAGCACTGTATATGGCTCCTATAATGGTAGATGGGTTGTAAAAATGGCCCAATACTCTACCCCTCTGTATATCCATGACTTTGTAGCTCCTCCCATCCAAAGAGGGACTTTCTTTCCCCATCCCTTGAATCTGGGAAAGCCACATGACTTGTTTTGATAAATAGAATACAGAGGAAGTGAAAGAATGGCCCTGCAATTGACCGTTAGAGCACGAGCCAGTCCATCCAAGACCAAAAGAACCGCCCAGCTGACCTGTGGGTTTGTGACCCATGATAATTGCTCTGTTTTAGCCTTCCTGTGGGTTTGTTGTTCTAAATGGGTAGGTACACCATATATATGCTTTTTGTTATATATTTTGTTTGTTGAAAGTATATAATGATAGAAGTATATTTTTAGAAAGACTTTATTTTTTAGAGTAGGAATTTCTGAGGAAGTAGTAGACTAGCAACTTAATCAGGAATGTAACAGAGGAGTAGTTCCTAGAATTAGGGGAAAAAAAGCCAGAAAAAAGAAAAACAAGAAAAATAAAAACAAATAAAGGAAAAACCAAGAAAAAAAAAAAAAGCTGAGCCTGAAATTCAAAAGTATCTCGTTGAACAAGGGGCCTTAAGGCTGATTCTCATGCACTGCTGGAGAAAGGGCATATTATTAAAAGACAAGTTGGCAATATTATAAAAGGTCCTAAAAATACACACGCTCTTTAATTAAATAATTCCAGTTTCAGAAATGTATCATGTGCTAATAATAAAAGATGTGTAGAAGGGCCGGCCGAGTGGCGCAAAGGTTAAGAACTGGCTTGGGATACCAGAGGGCCCCGGTTCGGATCCCACATGTGAGGGCCAGTGACGCTGCCCTCTAAAAAAAAAAATTAATAATAAGAGATGTGTAGAGAAATTTACCTACAAAGTTGTTCCTATTTGTTAGGGTCCTGGCAAGAAACAGATGACACACTTGGACTGGATAAGTGTGGAGAATTTCATGAAGGACTGTTGATAAAGGCATGGCAGGGTTAAGAGAAACCAAAGAATGGTGGAGTGCTTGGACTAGCAGCGATGGGGGCAGCATATCAGCCTAAGCGTGAATGTGCAAGAGAGGGGAGCTATTACAGGAACCCAGGGAGAATAGCCATAGGCGAGAACTTCCTACCAGATGGGTTCAAGGTCTTATGTTCAATGACATAACCAAGTAGTAGTGCTTTAGGGAGGGAGATGGGGGAATAAATATTCTTGCCTCCTTCTTTTCCCATTATCAGATTTCTTGCTGGTGCCCCCTCATTAGCCAAACCCACAGGAAGCTAGAGAGGGAGGAAGCCCGATGAGGCATTCTTGCAAAGGTCAGCTTCCAGGAGCAAACAGCATGGTGGATAAAGGTAAAAGCATGGGCTGAGGGCTAATAAAAGATACATAATAGCACAATGTCTGATGCGGCGTTGCTTGTAATAGGAAAACACTGGGACCCACCTGAGTATCCACATTAGGGCATTTGCTGAACAACTTATGATAGGTTCATATCTCGGAATACAATGCACCCATTAAAAATGGTATGTTGGAAATATTTTATTAAGGTGAAAAGATGTTTATAATATATTGTTAAATGAAACAAAAAATTTTATGTACATTCAGATACCAATTTTCTGCCAGTATTGTGTGTGTGTGTGTGTGTGTGTGTGTGTGTGTGTGTGTGTGCATTTATGCATTTAAACTGTCTAGAAGAACACATGGTCTAATGTTAATAGTGCTTCTTTTGGGGTGGTGAGATTACAGATAATTTTAATATTCGTAACTTAGCTTCTTTGTATATTCTGCTTTTTCTACAATGTATAATAAAAAATTAAAGTTCTTTTTAGAAAAATGAGAAATATGGCATGATCCCAAATTAATTCTGTGAATTAAATAGGTGCTAGTCTTCACATTGAAGAGGGAAATCTCTTTAAAAATTCTGTTGGAAGCCAATTTCATTTTTGAACAGTTACAAAATTCTTAAATAAAATTCCAGCAAAGAACTGAGCAATAGTAATTACCATTGTATGCAATTAGGTGCTAGTTACAATACTGAGTGACTTGGCCTGATTCTTGTATTTTCATACAACACTCTGAAGCTTTTAGATGAGGAAACCAAGGCTCATAAAAATCATGCCCAGAATGTCATGCTT